CTGATATCTAAAAATAACGTAATCACGACAACGTAGCAAACTAATTTCTTGTCTTTAAAGAGTAATTTCTTCTTTTTGTAATTACAATTTCCTCAAATTCCAAATTCCACCGGAAATTCCATAGTTGTCATATGCCGACGCGATATTTGGTAGATTTTAGCTGACAAATATCTCGACGGCGACCACTATTAGAAAATAGCATATTTCTGCATCAGTTTCAGTTGTTCGAAAATATATTAAAAGTCGTGATTCAGTCACGCTTTAAAATCACTGATATTTGAAAATCACGGTATCAGTTAACAGTGTGATTTCAAAATCACGGTATCGCTCATAACTAATTTCAGGTGAATGTCTTACTTGAACAGTTCAATAGTATATTGGTGATTAGATGGCTGCGGAACTCGCTGCGCTCGTCCCGCAGAGGTCCACCCATAAGTTCCGCAACAATCCACTTATTTGTACTTGAACAATAAGTGGGTCAGTTAAGTTAGCCCCCCCCCCCCCATAGAAAATTTCTGGATGAAAATTATCCCATAATTTTGCTCTCACTTTGCTCCATTTTGCTCCACTAATTTCGATTTTTGCTCCATTACAGTGGGGAGACCCCCCCAGTGAAAATTCAGAAATTTGATCTTGCTCATTTTGGTCTCCGAGTTTTGCTCCATTATCGGCGAGTTTTGCTCCATTACCAGGAGAGACCTACAGAGCTCCCAAGAATCTCTCCCAGCCCCCCCAAGTGAAAATTCTGAAATTTGATCATGCTCATTTTGTTCTCCGAGTTTTGCTTCGTTTTGCTCCATGATCAGCGAGTTTTGCTCCATTATCAGAGCTGCTTTCTTTTCAGGGCTTGGGCGCCCCAGGGCGCCCTGGATCACGATTTTGAAATGTGTCAACCGTTTTTTTTAATCGGGACGTCAAGCCCCGGGGTCGTCTATCCCCACCGCTAGCGCCTCAGCGAGGTGTCAAAACTCCACAGCTCCAGTGTTCAAACTATATTGGTTCAAACTGTCACTAGTATATATGTCCCTTAATTACTGTTCTTTTCAGAGCGTGCGCTGTCGCCACCCAGGGCGTCGAAGCTTGGGGTTCCAAAGCTCTGAAAAGAAAGCACCTCAGGAGAGACTTTTACAGAGCTCCCAAATATCTCTCCTAGCCCCCCCCCCCCCCCCCCGGTGAATTTTTTTAAATTTGAAGATGTTCATTTTGTTCTCCGAGTTTTGCTCCGTTTTGCTCCATTATCGGCGAGTTTTGCTCCATTACTACCTGAGCTGCTTTCGGGTGCCACGCTTTGAGCACTCAGGCGCTCTCAAGCTGCTCTCACTTTCCTCGCCTGTTGCCCCTGATGCTCCTGTAACGTGGTTCTGGAATGAACTACACAGCTCCCAGGAATCTTTCCTCGCAACACGTGTGGAAATTTTGAGTTTCTATATGCGCATTTTGTTCTCCGAGTGTTACTCCATTCTGCTCCATGATCGGCGAGTTTTGCTCCATTACCTAGCTGGAATGACCTACGAGCTCCTTAGAATCTCTCCTAGCCCCCCCACACCAGTGAAAATTTTGTTTGATCATATTCATTCTGTTCTCCGAGTTTCGCTCCGTTTTACTCCATGTTCGGGGAGTTCTGCTCCATTACCTGAGCTGCTTTCGGGTGCCACGCTTTGAGCACTCAGGCGCTCTGAAGCTGCTCTCATTTTCCTCGCCTCTTTTTCCTGATGCACCTGTAACTGATTTTCAAGCGTTTGAGTGCAAAGCGCATTGACTATAATGGCCGTGAAGAGACCGGTGGTCCCTGGTTTCACTTGCTTTGTTTGTTTATTTGCACCAACAAGGCACCAACCGACGCACTTTCTACACCAAACGTGTTTGTTTATCCAAGGTTTATCCCTATATTTTTTTTTTGTGTGGGTCTGACAGAGACAAACTGACTTTTTGGTGCACCTGGTGCAGACTGGTGTAACTTTGGTGCAAATAGACAAACAGAGCTCGCAAGAAGCCCTTTTAGTGCAAAATGGAGCAACACTTGGTATGAGTATGAGTTTGAAAATGTTCACAGGGCGTTCGGAAAACCCACTCCGAACCTACTCTAGAGTCAAACCTGTTCTGGTTCAAGGGGGGCAAGAAGTGATTCTTTGGAGCTCTGTAGGTCATTCCTGGTAATGGAGCAAAACTCGCCGATTATGGAGCAAAACGGAGCAAAACTCGGAGAACAAAATGAACATGTTCAAATTTAAAAAAATTCACCGTGGGGGGCTATGACAGATATTTGGGAGCTCTGTAGGTCTCTCCTGGTAATGGAGCAAAACTCGCCGATAATGGAGCAAAATGGAGCAAAACTCGGAGAACAAAATGAGCATGATCAAATTTCTGAATTTTCACTAAGGGGGGGGGGGGCTAGCGTTAATTCAGCCCTCCCCCACCTAATAGGCCACATAGTCTCTCCACTGTTATGGAGCAAAAATCGAAATTAGTGGAGCAAAATGGAGCAAAATGAGAGCAAAATTATGGGATAATTTTTATCCAGAAATTTTCTATGGGGGGGGCTAACCTAATTGACAAAGTCAGAATTTGTAAGTAGGTACCTATCCACTTTTTGCGAATTTGACTTTTAACAGGAATTAGTAATGTTACTTTACCAAACTAGTAATACCTATATTGTGACAAATTATTCAAGTACAAACGAGTGGATTGTTGCGGAACTTATGAGTGGACCCAGCCATCTATTCACCAATATGTTGTTCAAGTACGATACTAATAACCTGACTCACTCAAATGTGAGTTATTCTCATTAGTTTGCAAAGTACACGTTTCAGGTGAGTGTCTTATTTGAACAGTTCAACATTATATTGGTGAGTAGATGGCTGCGGAATTCGCTGCGCTCGTCCCGCAGAGGTCCACCCATAAGTTCCACAATAATCCACTTATTTGTATGTACAGTTTTTGAATCATCATACAGTTTTGTATATTTTCGTATGGTTCTCTATTCGTATGTCGATCGAGTATACACCACTGGTATTTTCCTGTTTCTGACTATCCCCATGTTAGTATGAAATTTGTTAATTAGTTTCAATTTCATTCAAATTATGAAGAGTTTATATATCCTACATATAAATAATTATTATCTAGGATTATCAGAAATTGTTATTTCTCATAAACTGAATTTTCCGAACATAATAAAAGTTAGCCCTCGTCCCCCAAACATAGGTATTTTATTACCAAGTTAGTGGCCAAACTAATAACCGATCTCACATGGATTTTATTGTCCCAATATACGAATTTGAAAGTTAACCAGAACCAAAAAAAAAAAGGAAATGCGACTCTTGAGATGGCCATCATAAATTCCAGCTGATACAGTCCTTCGATAACCCTGTAATGGCTTTCAGGGATAAAATGCCCATAAAAACTGGAAAAAGAGTGGCCATTTACCTATTCTTTTTCAATCAGGCAAAGGCAATAGGCGCGATTCGGTTTCCAATGTGAGACAGGTAACCGACATTTATCAGGAATTTCATTTCGAGTCACGTATGTCTAATATGTTATTTGCTGAATATATACGAACACCCTTGATGGGCTATTCGCTACATATAAAAGATGATAACAGCGGTGTAGGTATTTTTGTATTAAGTTTAGCATTTAACTAATTTATTTTTGTATATATATTTTTATTGCCAATAGCTCCCTTCTACTACACACATCCACACCAAAAGCTGGATATTAATATTTTAAAAAATATGTCCTACGCCAATGGATAATCAGAGTATCTACCTCTATTTCGCAATTCAATCCCATGGGATGCCCAATTCTAAAGGAGCCCATGCAACTTTAAAGCGGCCCATAGTCAACAATACAGATTGGAAGCGGGTCAACACAATGGTTGGGACCGATTGGGTTAATAACGTTACATGGACTATGCATATGGCTTTTGTGAAGTTTGACTCTATTGTACGGTCAATTAGTCATTGAATTCAGGTTTATGGCTATAGGGGCTTAAAAACTATTCTTGAGATTTTTTCATTTGTCTCTTGTAATCCTAATAAAGTCTTTATACCGTGATCCGATTTAAATAAAATTGCATTAGGAGCATAATCAATAATCGTCTCACATAAAAGTTTTTAGGGAAATTGCAGCGTCGCCTAGCTATTTCATTAGATAAGTCAATTCTTTCCTAAATTTTAGGAAATCCTAAAATGACATCATAGTCAATGTGCTCCAAAAATTTTGCTCATTTTCGTCGCCGCCTCACATAATAATTATTAGGAAAAAATTAACGAAATCTGTCTCAGTTGTGCGCAGACCTTAGGGCTAAGACGACGTCAAAAAACCAGTTTTAGTCATCTGCGCTGATGTTCATTAGGACTTCAATTCAAGATTTTATCTGTTCTTTCTTCAAAAATGTAAAAAAGGTTTATGTCAATCCTGAGAAAATGCAAATAACTGACCATTATCTTCATTTACATTAATCCAGGAAAAGTTTCAGAGCTTGACTAGGCATATTATTTTTCAACTGGAATCAAAGAGACAGGTAGGTAGGTAATTTATAAAGTCTACATCATCCTTCGAAAAATAAATATAAGTGTCTCTATACGAAACAACATTATTGAAAAATTAGGCATTGCAATTCTTCTTGACCGTTTTCTTTGCTAAACAAATTGATGTTTCTAACTAGGCCAATAGATAGAATAGTAAAGCCAAACAAGAATAAAATTCGGGACGGAAATTAAGGACCGAACCGAAAACTATAACTGCTAAGATATAAGTCGGAGTGTCTTGAGGCGGAAAGTCAACTCTGGCGGATATCCCGTTTGGAGAGTTCCCGTCTTAAGAACGAGACAAATCCTTTTGTCCCAACTGAGATTGTTTTCGTCCCCTGGATCGCCGTTATCTGTTTCTGAGTTTGAACAATGCCAATAACAGACTGATATAATTGCTTAGGATGGGATGAACGAGTTTTTTTTTGGGTCTTTTATTTTCTTGGACAAAAGCTTTTAATTGTAAATTTAAAATTAATTTTTATTAAGTAATTCAGTTTCGTCGTAAGATTGTAAAGCTTCTTGTCTCCTTTTGTCATTGGGCACAAATGAAGTTATAATAGCTCCAAGTAGTAATAAAACAGCTTGACTTCCAAGAGCCCAAAATGCTCCATACGAAGAATTAAGTTTTCCTGGAAGCCAAAAAAAATTATAAACCACCATAACTCTTGATCAAATACCTAAAAATATAGTAATCAAAACTCCCATAGCTTGGTTCATAGCGTTTAAAATTCCAGTTGTAGTGCTTTCATCGGCTGGATAAGTGATTTCTACCGCAAATTCGTATCCTACTGGTATGTAAGCATTTGTGAATACACTAAAATAGTACATTTGCATTGGTTTATTGATATTTCTGGAAAATATTACCCAACTATTCCAAAAACTGCGTAAACCAGTATTTTTGAATTCGTAAGCAGGGAGAACGTGGCAGCTATAACCGATACCACAGCCGCATAACAAATAAACACAGTGGTTTCCCTATAAAAAAAAAAGTTATTAGTAAACATTCAAATTAGAATTTTTTTTGGCGTGACCCAGTTATATTATAAATCCCTGTGTTATTATTATATACATAATTCTCCTTTTCAATATTAAATGTAAGCGTACGCCTCTGTACAAGCTCACAATAATATAAAGATGCTGCACTGGAAAAGTACCATCATATCAAGGTTTCTCCCACATGATTGCACCGTCAGCGATTTTCATTATAAATTCGGCTCGCAGAGCTTCTCATTCATTCATTTATATTGTAGCAGTTTGAATCAAGATTCTTTTGTTATCGGCTTTTCGCCGCAGCAATTAGAGTCTAGAGTAACTTCTTAGTTTTTAATAAAATAAATAGTTTTTAAAAACAAGATTAACTGAACGAAAAATATAATTACCCTACTTACTTATATTTATGAGTTCTATCCAAAAACAAACCAAATAGCAAAGAACCGAGCATTCCTCCTATAACCATAATCAGGCCAATCCTTCCTGCATCTTCTTCAGAATTCTAGACAAATGCGAAAATTACAAAATATCATTTAACCATTTTAACCGCTCTATATTCATTTAGGTTTCAGAGTTTATTAAGTTTAAGGACCAACAAAATAACATTGTGCAATTTTTACTAACCCAAACAGTGGCGGATACAGTAAGAGGCCAGTAGGGGGGGCCTTTACCTTTAATTTTTAGAATCCATGGTCAAAAACAAAAATTGAATTTCAGAAATGTGAAATATTGTACCTATGCTTTCAGCTTGTTCCAAATGGGATGCGCTATATTTGGTTCTATTCCCTTGAAGAGCACAATTTCCCGATTCCAAAACTATATACGTATCTAGTTTGTCTATATTTAGTTGAGCCGTCTCCAACATATTTGGTTCTACAAATTTCAAAAATACTATCAGAGAAACCAAGTTACCTCAAATTTTACCTGCAGCTTTCACCTGTATAGGTAGAATGGTTCACAAAATCAGTAGTAGGATAGTATTTTTACAATTTTTGGAGCCAAATATAATGAGAGATTACTCAATCAAATATAGATCGGGGCATTGTGCTCTTCAAGAATATAGAACTAAATATAGGGCATCCTATTTGCAAAAAGCTGAAAGCATGCAAAATTTCACATTTCTGACATTCAAATTTTGTTTCTGACCATGATATCTAAAAATTCAGTTAAAACAAAAGTATTTACACCTTTCTTCTTCCTGTAAAGGTAAAGGCTGTAGGTGGGGTGTCAATATATAAGAGAACACCCTATACAAATATGTGGATTATTGCGGAACTTATGGGTGAACCTCTGCGGGACGAGCGCAGCCAGTTCCGCAGCCATCTACTCACCAATATACTGTTGAACTGTTCAAGTAAGACATTCACCTGAAATGTGTAATTTTTAAACTAATGAGAATAACGCACATTTGAGTGAGTCAATTTAGTATCATAAATAAACAACATATTGATGAATAGATAGCTGGGTCCACCCATAAGTTCTGCAATAATCCACTCGTTTGTACTTGAATAACTTGTCACATTATGTTACTAGTTTGATAAAGTATCATTACTAATTCCTGTTGAAAGGCCAATTGACAAAAAGTGGATAATCTTACAAATTCTGACTTTATACAAAAAATTATTGTTCAAGTACAAATAAGTGGATTGTTGCGGAACTTATAGGTGGACCTCTGCGGGACGAGCGCAGCGAGTTCCGCAGCCATCTACTTACCAATATACTATTGAACTGTTCAAGTAAAGACATTCACCTGAAACGAGTAGCTTTTGAACTAATGAAAAAAATTCACAACTGAGTGAATCAGGTTAGTATTATACTTGGACAACACATTGGGGAATAGATGGCTGGGTCCACCCATAAAGTTCCGCAACAATCCACTCGTTTGTACTTGAATAACTTGTCACAATGTATTGATAGTTTGGTAAAGTAACATTACTAATTCCTGTTATAAGGCTTATTGACAAAAAGTGGATAATCTTACAAATTCTGACTTTTTATAATTAGTTATTGTTCAAGTACAAATAAGTGGATTATTGCGGAACTTATGGGTGGACCTCTGCGGGACGAGCGCAGCGAGTTCCGCAGCCATCTAATCACCAATATACTATTGAACTGTTCAAGTAAAGACATTCACCTGAAATGTGTAATTTTTAAACTATTGAGAATAATGCATATTTGAGTGAGTCAGTTTAGTATCGTACTTGAACAACATATTGGTGAATAGATGGCTGGGTCCACTCATAAGTTTCGCAACAATCCACTCATTTGTACTTGAATAACTTGTCACATTATGTTACTAGTTTGGTAAAGTAACATTACTAATTCCTGTTGAAAGGCAAATTGAAAAAAGTGAATAATCATTATCTTACAAATTTTGACTTTATATAATAAATTATTGTTCAAGTACAAATAAGTGGATTATTACGGAACTTATGGGTGGACTTCTGTGGTATGAGCGCTGCAAGTTCCGCAGCCATCTACTCACCAATATACTGTTGAACTATTCAAATCACCTGAAACTTGTAGTTTTTGAACTAATGAGAATAACTGACATTTGAGTGAGTCAGGTTAGTATCGTACTTGAACAACGTATTAATGAATAGATGACTGCGGAACTCGCTGCGCTCGCCCCGCAGAGGTCCACCCATAAATTCCGCAACAATCCACTCGTTTGTACTTGAATAACTTGTCACATTATGTTACTAATTTGATAAAGTAACATTACTAATTTCTGTTGAAAGGCAAATTGTATCTTGCACAATGTGCTGTCAAAACTAACCCAATCTGGCTTACTTCAACTTAAACTGCCCCCCCCCCTTCACGCCCTTCCAAAAGGCCTGTATCCGCCCCTGAACCCAAAAACACAGATCTGCAATCATTGCAGATGAGGGCAGTTAGGGTTTATACAAATTACACAAAGTGAAAAAGAGAGTGTAGTCCCAAATATCAAAAACTGACTGAAATCGTATGTAAAATACTGACTGGAAAATATTCCAATATGAACTGATTCAATAAGGTTCCTATAGCTTCAAACACGCCAATATTTATACCATAAGCAACGGTGTGTAAAACAAATCCCCTATTCCTGAATAGTTTTGTAAAATATTTGCAATATTCTCGAAAAGTTAAAGGTTCTTTTTTTCTTTCTTCTTGTTGAACTAGGGATGGAGGTAGTTTTGGCAATTTGGGGAAGACTAAAAAATTAATTCAAAATAAATATTCTCTCAAGAATACTCAAACCACTTACGGAATATTATTGCAATGACCACGGGAATCATATAAATCGTAATCAACAAGCATAAAACTTGTAAATCGGAGCCAACCAGCGATATATTTTTATGGTTTCTTACTAGCGTTGAAGGTACCACAAACCCAAGAGCAAATCCCAGTTGAGTACCAAATACTGCTAAAGCACATGCAGTTGACACCTGTCAAAGAAGCCAATTTTAATTTTTTCCATCCTCTAAATACTCTGCTTATATTACCTCTGTGGGTTTGAACCATACAGCAGCAATTTTCGATGGCAGACATAAAACAAACACTTGTGCAGTTGATCCAATGCTTTGCCCTAATATTACGACCCAAAACAACTTTTCGTCTATAGAAAATACTTTTATCAGAGCAGCTAAAGCTGTACCAACGCCACCCCATATAGCTGCAAATCTCAAACCCTATAAAATCAAATTTTTTATGTATTCTATGAAATTACCTGTGTCATATTAATCTTTACCTTTTTATCAATAAAATATGAAACTGGCAAAACAATAATCGGATAGATTAACATGTATATAATTGATGTCCAGTCGACTGCTGTAGAATTGACTTTGTAAAATCGCATTACTATATTGGCTATAATGGAGTATTCCATCCATTGAAACGAGTTGGCAGCAGAGTAGAGCACATAGATCAAAAGAATGGCCCATCTTCTTTTAAACACTTTTATCGGAGCTTTTTCCCGATTTTCCAAATCTCGTTTGACGTCTAGCATGTTTTCGGAATTTTCCATTTTTGTGCTAGAATGAAAACGTATAAAGTCATTTATTATTGAAAGCAATGATCTAAGGAAAATATATTATGTTACTTGCCTTTTGCCTTCGATCAAGGTTCCCCAAAAACTCGAATTTTATCCGGATAAAATTGCCAAGAAAACTGTACTTTTTTACGAATTATGGAACTAAAAGACTCCATGCGAGTATGATTTTAAATAATTTTAGATTTTTTTTTTTTTTGATTTGTAGTTTTATTTTGATTTTAAGCTAATGCACCGCGTGCGGTATCTATTTTGTAATAAATTATAATAGATAGGTAAGTATACCCACTTGAGGTTGCTAAATAATCTTACAATATGATAAATGGCTCGTCTTTTTTTGACGTGAATATATAAGTATGTTGGACAATGTAGTCTAGGAGCTATAACCGAGAAATGCTCACTATTTAGTAGCAGTAAACAAAAAATCCACTACCTAAATATTAAAAGAACTACGTACCTACAACAACAAAACTCTAGTAACATATCAGAGGAAAGCAATTCAAGACTCTCTAACAAGGAACTTAAAAATAGATACTCATGCTATGTGATTATAGTTCATTATTGACTATATTTAAATTGTAGAGAGGAAGTTGTGTCTGTAGAACATTCAAAAGTGAGAGCATATGACTAGGAAGGAAGATACTATCCGAAGTATCTGAGCTTTCTATTGCAACCACTCATTGGACAGAAATCCGATTACATAACATCACCCTCTAATCATATCATGAGACAATGGAAGACGCCTAACGATGCCAGGAATCTGCAAGGCACAAGTTTAGTAAAAGTTCGTCATGTCCCTGAGAGCTCTGAGAAATTGTATGACAAAAAATTAAAGTTTTATCATCTCAGCTTCTGCCAGATAACACAAGTTTTTTCAAATAATTTGAGTAAACGAAAAACGAAATATGTATGTAATTCTCATGTACACAACATATAGGTAAATATATACATGTTAACTATTATGTAAATACCTGATAACAATTTTATTATTGGTGTTAATTTGCTAATTTACTAATCACGTGTGGCAAGTCACAAGTCAAAGGAAATTTATATAAAAATTTTAAAACAAAATGCTCTCGGTATCTGGTTCTCAGAAAAATTGCACTTACCTACATCTGCCTCAGTTGCAATCAAATCGGCGCGCCTGGTGAAAATAAGAGAAATCCGAAAAATAAATCGGAAAACATGAAAGAAATGGAAAATTCGCTCAGGAAAGCGCGCAGAGCACACTTCAGATTCAATAAAGGAGGTTTAAAGGCCGAGTGGTAATTCGTTTGATAGACATGGGCGTTTTGTTGGAAACCAATTATTTGTGTTCATATAGGATAGATTTTTACCTCCATTGATTTTTTGGCTTTTATTGCTGGTAATAAGCCAATTACCCGACTTTTTTCAACTTATTTGCATTATATTCATCTTCAAGAAAAGAATAATTCATTTCATAAAGACCCTAATTGCCTGTATGACGAATATAAGTTGCTGGTTCATAATGCACAATAAAACCAGCATGCGATTTTTGTTATTATTCTTATATTAAAAACTAGAAGTAGGCAATGAATTATTAAAATTCAATTGAAGTTGAATATCTCAATCACAATGCCTTACTTGCATTAATTGTTTCTTTCAGTTAATCGTCACGTTCACGACCCTGCCTAAAACTAGGACTTAAGTACATATATTCTAAAATAGGTTTGTCAATATGACAAATTTAATCATAACTTCACAATAATAATGCATATTTGGGTTTGTTATTTACACTACATACGTATTTCTCCTTAACAATTTTTTTCCTCGACAAAATGAACACATTTCTTACTTCAAGTAAAAGGTTTTCATCCTACTTTCAAGCTTTTACACTAAAATCTTCAGTCTGCGGTATCGTCTTGAATTCAACATCTCTGCCTTCATTGAAAGCTTTTTGTCTTCTCAAATTGTTGGGTACCAAAGCTGTCATCACTGTACCAATACTCAGTAAACCAATTTGGATAACCAAAGCCCATAGGGTGCCGTATTTGACGGTGACATTACTGAGAACCAGAGTAAAAGTTACGCCTGGAACAAAATGCCATTTAAGAAAAAATTATTGTGTATTTTAGTTTCTTGCCTAAAGTTTGTGATACAGCCGTGATCAACCCCGTTGTGGTGCTCTCATTGGCTGGATAAGTAAGCTCTGAAGCAAATTCAATACCAGCAGGAATGTAAGCATTAAGGAAAAACCTAAAATCAATAATATTTAATTCAAAACTTCATAAACTAGCAAACAACTCACCCAAATATAGCTATAGTTAAATAAACTAGAATTTTTGACTTTGTTTGCAAACAAACCAGCAATGCTACTAAACATATAGCTGATCCAACATAAATGAAAAAATTTGTTTCTCTAAAAAAAAAGCAACTAATTACATAATATGTTTATAAAATGATTAAAATACTTACTTATATTTATGTGTTTTATCAAGTAAGATGCCAACTAAAAATCCACCAGTCATGCCGAACATAATCATTACTAAGCCCATTCGGCCAGCATCTTCAGCTGCACCCTAGAAATTTAGAAATCAGTCGGAATAATGTTTCACATGCTTCTTACCGGAAAATATGACAAAACAAATGGATTTAGCAAAGTTCCAAAAGCTGAAAATATTCCATAACTTATACCATAACCCATCATCTGAATGCAAAATCCTTTATTAGTAATCAGATCCTTGAGAGATTTTAAAAATGTTCTCATGGTGACTTCTTGGGCTTGTTTCCTTTCCTCTGCTTGGGCTAAACTAGGTGGGTATATTGGCTGATGAGGAAAATCTAAAAAATTATCCAGTGAATTTGTAAAAATATATGAAACTGTATAGAAATTACATGCAACTACTGCAACACAAGCAGGAATCACACCGAGAGCCAATGCCCAGCATAATTGTTTTAAGCTGGAACCGATAACTAATAATTCGGGATCGTCTTTGACTATCATTGGTGGTAATAGGAATCCTAGGGCAGATCCTAATTGCATTCCGAATACTCCTATTGAACATACTGTGGACACCTAAAAAGACTTGAATTGTATAGTCAGAAACAAATTATTGTCATTAGGCCAAGACTTTTTGTGCTGAGATCAAAATTTCAAAGCTGACGTGTAGTGGAGGCGAAAACTTTTCCGCAAATATTACAAAATTGCAGACGATTGGACAATAATAAAGATCCGCTCAAGGTATTGTCCTTCGATAATGTCTACTTCCATTAGTAGGTACTTTCATCAGGGAATAGTTAATAGCTATAAGCGACCCGCGCCTATGGACTAATGACCTCTATGGACTGATAGGTGTAAACAGAACCATCCTTGTGAAACTCGGTTTGTTCCGGAAAATCAAAGGGTTTAGGGATGGCAGTGAATTTAGGAAAGCAGCCGCCGCTAAAAAAAATGATGAAGAAGCAAACGCTGAAAATGAAGATCGGTTTTTCAACATTCCGTCCGCCGACTGCCTCTGAGCTGATCCATTATGAGAGATCCACATTGTCGAAGTTTCCATAATTTAAGCTAGAAACTGGGAAGTAAGAGATTCGGAAATGTCATCAAAGTTATCCAATTCTAAAATAATTTTATCTAATTTGCACTGGTAGATTTAAGTGGTAAACGAGTCATGGAAAAAAAACTGTGCGCATATTGATACTTATCTGGGAGGTAAGAGAAACACAGAAAGTTGGAGATTACTAAAAAATAGGAGGAAAACAAAAACCAAGGATAATATCAATACAATAACACCCCAGCAATGGGAAGAGTACTTTGAAGAATTACTGGCAGAACAGCGGGCAGAGTTTATTAAAGAAGAAAAGGAACAAACACGAAACATTAAAACTCCAGGATCACCAATAAGAGTTATGCAAGAAGAACTTAAAAAACACTGTAGCTTCTTGAAAAACAGTAGGGCACCAGGCCCAGGAGAAATATATGGAGAACTGATAAAGTCTGGGACCAATAAACTCTACAAACATTTAACAAAACTATTTCAAACATGCACAGATAAACATAAAGTACCGGAAGAGTGGAAAATAGGCTACGTAACAATGATATATAAAAAAAGAAGATAGAAACAAATGCGTTAACGACCGAGGAATTGCAGTAACAAATACGCTGAGCAGGAGTGTATGGGAAACTCATAAAAGCCAGAATAGAGAACGAGTACAAAAATAGTGAGGCAGAACAGGCTGGTTTTAGAGCAGGAAAATCAACTGTAGACCATTTATTTAGTTTGACCCAGATAATGGAAAAGAAACTAGCGTATAACCAAGAACTCCATTTACTCTTTGTAGAACTAAAGAGAGCATATGACAATGTTCTGCTAAAAAGCTTTGTGAAGCACTGGAAAAGACCAATATCAACTTAGAACTAATAAAGGCAGTAAAAACGCTCTATAGCAGCGGTTCCCAACCGGTGGGTCGTGACCCCTAAGGGGGTCGCAAAGGGTTTTTGGAGGGGTCGCAATATCAAGCTGAGGAATGACTTTACAGCACCTGCCCTATTTCAGGAAAAATTCTTGACTGAATTTTGATCTGCCATGCAAAGTTCAAATCCTTATGTCGTCCTGCTTGTGCTTTCTTTTTTTTTAGTGTACTATTACTATTTGCCTACTTACCTTCGTGAAAGTGGTTTTTCAACTATTGCAAATTAGAACAAAGGCCAGAAATAGACTAGGAGTTGAAGATGCCATAAGATTGGCTTTAACAAAAACTCAACCAAGAATTCCAAAACTTGTTACGGAGATGCAAGCTCAGTCATCACTAACAAAATAAAAATTGCCTTTTTGTATTTAGTTAAGAAATATTAATATTTTTGTTAAAGATTTCTTGAATAAATGAAATTTTGTTTTTTATTTATTATGGGTAGGGGGTCGCAAACTTATGAGCAAATCTGTAAAAGGGTCGTGACTAAAAAAAGGTTGGGAACCACTGCTCTATAGGGATGCAAAGACCAAGATTAAACAGGGAAACATAATCAGTAAAGGCTTTATAGCAACTAAAGGACTTGAACAGGCATAGGCGCCGGAACCATGGGGGCAATGGGGGCTTGAGCCCCCGTAGTAAATATAGTGATTTTGGAATTGTATGTAGTGGGTGTAGTGGGTATAGGTACAAAAATATTGAGTTGCTGATCCTAATATTCCTAACTATTTATTTTTATATCAAACTTGTGTGTTTTATGTTTTTGTCGTTTTTGCTATACCCACTTTGTCAAACAGTTCGAATATTTTTTTGTTATATAAGTTTAGTATAGTAAATTTTAAGGGCCTTAATACAAAAAGCTTAGATGACAGATACCCATTACCCAACATAACGGATCTCTTGAACAAGCTGGGACGCTGCCAGTATTTCACCACCTTAGATTTAGCAAGCGGCTTCCATCAGATCCAGATGCATGAAAATGACATCGAAAAAACCGCATTCAGCACAGAAAACGAGCATTATGAATTCTTGCATATGCTCTTTGGTTTGAAGAACGCGCCGGCTACATTCCAAAGAGTTGTGGATGATATTCTATATCCTAATATATTGAGCAGTTTTAACACCGAAAGATATAACATCCCATCAATAATAGTTATTCATTATACAAGGGAAAAAAGTATTTATATTTTAGAGCGAGATGTGGTTTGCCAAGGGTTTACCTCCCGCCACGAAGCGGAGGGAGACAACTACAAGGTGGCCAAAGAGCGCTGAGAATGCTGGAGGTGGGACAGGGAAAATCGTTATCTTTGCAAGCTTGCTGAGTTTGGGGTGTCAGAGGATGCTTACCATCTTGTGAGGTCATACCTAATAGGCAGGGTCCAGACAGTGAGGGTCGGCGCTTACAACTCTGAGGCGTTTGTTGCAACCTCAGGTGTCCCGCAGGGTAGTAAACTGGGCCCTCTTTTCTTTTTGTGTTTCATCAATTCATTGCCCGACTGCCTGAGGGACTCTATGGGACTTCTCTTTGCTGATGACTTCAAGCTCTGTAGGATTGTTGAGCGGCAGGAGGACTGCAGAAGGCTTCAGGGTGACATGGATAGGGTGATGGACTGGTTCAACAACAACAGAATGTCCCTAAATGTTAATAAGTGTTCTGTTGTCAGCTTTACGAGACGAACAAACCCAATAGAAGAAACATACAAGATTGGTGATACTGAGCTTGATCGTCAAACAGAGGTGAAGGATTTGGGTGTCTTTTTCCAGGCCAACATGAAGTTCAATAAGCATTTTCATCATGCTGTCAATAAAGCAGTAAAAGCACTTGGCTTTGTAATCAGGAATAGTAAGAACTTTAAAATAAGTACAATTATTAACTTGTATAATGCTCTGGTGAGACCACACCTTGAATATGCATCACACATTTGGATGCCATTAGAAGCCACGCATATTGATGAAATTGAAAAAGTGCAGAAGAGATTTTTGCGGTATCTCTATGTGGTTAAAAATAATATTTACCCATATATGGTTCCTTACAGGGATATGCTTGTTAGTTTTGAGATAAAGTCATTAGTGGAAAGAAGGAATAATCAGGCTGTGATATTTTTGTTTTATATTTTAAACAACCTAAAGTATAAGGATTGTAATTTAATTAACTATGTCTCCTTAATTGTACCAAAGATTAACTTAAGAATTATGAAAAACAAGAAATACTTTGGTACTGATCCTAGTAATAATATGTCACCATTTAATCGCATGATGACAGTTGCGAACCAAGCACTTAATGAGGTCCAGGTAGATCTTTTTAATGTAACTTTCAATCAATTGAAGGCCCTTTTAAATTAGTCATATATGTTTATATTGTGTACTCTATCTTTATTTTTGTGTTTTACACTTCGCTGTTTTAACTTTACATGTAATTACTATTTTTGGTGTTTGTAAAGTAATGAAATAAATAAATAAATAAATAAAATCTTTCGTTCTCTTTTAAACCTTAGAGTGTTTCTAGACATTTCATTCTATTGCATTAAAATTGGCCTGTTGTTGACCTGTCAAACCTGTATATAGGTAATTCATTTTTTGGCCATGCCATTAGCTTATTTATAAGTTTGTTTCATGCCATAAGTTGAGTTTTGATGCGTGGCGACCCTGCAGTGAAATGGGTATCGGTCAACTGGTCCCATTTAAGTCTATGTGTCTAGTAGCCTAGTCCTGTCTGTCTAATTTATTCTACTTATGTTAATTATTGGAGCCCGAGCCCCCATAGTAATTTTGATATTCTGGCGCCTATGATGCTGCATATCACCAACACTTTTTAAAATATACTTAGTATTAGCGCTTAAGGGATGGAAAAACAAATGCAGACACATAGGAATACCGCTCAATGAATACATTCTATATACTTTAAGCTTTGCAGATGATCAAGTAATAATTGCACAGGACTATGATGACCTGGAGTACATGACACGAAAATTGATAGAGGAATACGAGAAATGGGATTTGGAAGTAAATCTAACTAAAACAGAATATATGACTATTGGAGGTGAACAACAAACTCTGAAGCTGAATAAAATAACGAACAAGAAATAAAACAATGTACTAAATACAAATATTTGGGCATGAAAATCTCACAAGAGGGAACCATAAATGAAGCAATTAAAGATCGGAATATACAAGGACGCAAGGAAATATCCCTCCTAAATGGTGTAGGTACTGTGGGGGGACCAAAATATCAACAAAACTAGAATATACAACACTATTGTCAAAGCATAGTCACATATAGTTTAGAAGTCTGGCCATTAAAGAACAGAACCGCAAAAATGTTGGGAGCAGCTGAAATGGCCTTTTGGAGGAGATCGGCAGGCAGGTCAAAAATGGAAAGGATAACAAATATGAGAATTAGGGAGATTATGGACGTAAAACACACAATAGTAGATGATATTAAGGACAAACAGCTGATTTGGTTCGGACATGTACAAAAAATAGCAGATACAAGAATACCCAAGCAATTATTGAGTGGAAGCCAAGGGGAAGAAGAAGACGCGGCAGACCAAGAAGAAGCTGGAGAAGGCTTGGAGGAGAATGCCTGGATTGACAGAGATAGTTGGAGATCGGGAATCGGAAGACGTGCTATAAACCGATAATTTTAAATATAGATTTAAGTGGTTCCTTACGTTTCTGATGAAAATCCAAAACTGCTCGAGGTTTCTTAGTTTTAGTTTTTTGAGTTTAGTGGATGAACATGTGGTAACGTGGTAACACATCTGTTATCGAGACTTATTCAGCTCGTTTCTGAGTTTTGTAGAATTTATTTCAGTATAGGTATCGAACCATCCGAGATATTTACATTATTTATAGCGGTATTTTGGGATTCTAAGCGTTCGACTGCGTGGATCGCAAGATCTTGAGGCGCATAATAACATTTTCTCCTCCAGGTTTGAGTCATACTTAAGTGATCCTTTCCATGTGAAATTTAATGGCACATGTTTTAAACAATTTCAGATGCCATGTGAAGTTCCTCATAGAGCTAGGAACTATAGCTAACAATGTCAGTGATAGCGTCACACTGGGATGCATGCATAGTAATGAATGTTTTAGGCTTTTCCCATTATTTCCCAATGACAGTAAACCAAAAAAAAATCGGGATTTATTAGTGATGATGATTATATTAAAATAAGTATGTATATGTATAAAGCCTAAAAATGCTTCATATACTAGATCCTCAAAAGATTGAGGAATAAAATTTAGAAAAGGTAAGTACATAATTTACGATTGCTGAATATTTATATTTGCTTAGATCATAGGAAATCGATCCTATTGTTTAAACTCGGATTTCGTGCACACTATTTGTGATCTAACCGATACTATTTGCTTGAAAAATAACAAAATAATCTACTTACTTCGTTGGGTTTGAACCATGTGACTGCTAATTTCGGTGGCAAGCTCAAAATGAAAACTTGGGATAGCGACACTATGGCTTGCCCAATAAGGACAATGTAGAAATTTTCCGGTTGGACAGAAAATAGTTTGACGGAGGCACCTATGGCCGTGAGAAAGCATCCTGTTAAAGCTGCAAATCTAAGACCCTTAAGAAAAAAAAATTGCCACATTATAATGAATACCTAATCTAGAAGATTGTCATATAGTTGTTCTTCTGTACATCTTGAATTGTGATATTATTAGTTCTTCAAAGAAAAAAATTATATTAAATATCTTATTATTAATGAGTTATACTAACCAATTTATCAATTAAAAACGACGAAGGAAAAACAAATATGGGCCAAACAATCATAAACATGACCCCTGTCCAGTCAACAGCAGTCGAGCTGACATTGTAATACCTCATCACTATATTGGTCACTATAGAATACTCTACCCATTGGAAACAGCTAAATGTTGCATAGTAAACGTACACAGCCAAAATATACCATCTTCTCTTGAATGCTTTTATAACTTCAACGTTATCGTTGAATGGGTTACGTTCGAGCATGGGGGTGTTGGTTTTGTCCACAGTCATTCTGACGGTTTTCAGTTTCAGGCCTAACTTTACTAAAAACTTCCTCATTTTCGCTGAGGCTTTTATAAAAGTGGCTTGTAAAAATTAATCCGTGGTAATCCGCAAATTTTTTGCGTATCGATAGATTTGGCAGCCCAATAAATTTCGCTTCAAATCCCTTATTTGCTGATGTATTTGATTTTAACACTATTTTTAATTCGGTTTGGTTTGTTTTTTGTACGTACGATGTCAGGTTTATGACGTCGACAGAAATGGATTTGACTTCTTAGGGATGCATCTAGGAATTGAAAAAAATTCTACCTATTTTTCCAAATCACGAAATTACAAAATCTATCTAAATATGTATTTGTTAAATGAATCACTTTTAGGGAAGAGCAATTAGAAATTTGATTTGTTTCAAAAGTATTAACACTTCACTGACAAACTCTAATTGATAAAAACTCACCCATGACTAAATCTGGAAATCACTCTTCTTGTACACTCACCAGCATTAAACCTGCATCCTCACCTTTTTTTATTAATAAGGTTGCACTTGAGAATACCTATACATATACTAAACAAAAAATGTCGAGATTATGTTGATTTTTCTCTGTTTTACCCAGGTTGGTTAATTAAAATTTTAAAATAAGCTCATTATGGTATTTTTATTGCTCCATTCAGAAACAACGTTTGTTGTAAATCTTTGACGTTGTATCCCAGAAAAACCATTATTTTTGTTTTAAATTTAATTGACGAATGATTTATGGATTTAATAATAATTTATCCAGCTTTATTGAAACTCTAGAAAAGTCAAATGAATTTCAGCAACAGGTTAAATTTCTTGTTGTGAAATTGAAATCGCATCCAGATAACAGTTTTCCATATTTTAATGCAGTTTCTAACACAATAATGTGTGTTGTGTCATTTTTTCATACCTACAGCAAACCAATAAAATCATCTTAGCATATTAATTAACTCATTTTTATGCAATCAGTTTTTTTCTATGCCACAGAGTCTCTGGAATTGGTTGCTGTGAACCTAATTTTTAAGGGAACTAACTGCAGATTTAATTTTTATGGTATCACTTCTCTTGACCTTTGTGGTGATTATAGAAACTAAATCAAATAGCTTTGTTTCAATTAACGTACCTATCTCGCACATGATTTTTCATCTGAAATATAAAAATAAAAAAATAAGCACAACACACATTAATTTAATGTGATTTTGAATCATAATGGTTGAAATAGGTGTAGTAAATTCTAAAACTACATATTACATGTTACATTGTTAAACAATTAATAAAAAATTTAAAATTTAAAACACTGTTTGTAAAGTAAAATTAAAATCTCAGTATAAGCAAACACATAATAATGTTGAATAACCACAAAATCAAGATGCAAACAGCACAATGGGTTTTCCTAAGTCAATCAAACTCGGAAAACTAGAAAAATATATATGTATATTTATTGAAACAATTTGAAAATAATTCTTAGAGCTATTTATTTTTTTTTATGTCAATTATGTTCAATAAAACTTTAGAAAAAAAGTAAATCAAACGACCTAATTTCGTATAAAAAGGCTTAAATTCAAAAAAGTATAATACAACCTAATTTTTAACAAAGCCCATATTTCTGCCAGAGTAATTTTCAATTTTCCAACTTTACTTTGACACTTTCTATATCTTTCCCTGTAGATTGAATGAACGCAACATTGGGACATAACTTTGAAAGCTCCCATGCGGGCACTTGTTCTAAGTGTGTGCTCAATACCTACAAAAATATATTCTATTAACCAAAAAAAGATCTTGGATTTGTTGTTTTACCTCTCATCAGGTCGTTGGTTTTCAGTATTAGCAACATCTGTCTATTAACATTTTCCAGAACCGTGGAAATTTGCGGCAGTAGACCAGTAAAATGTTGTTGCACAAAATCTTTTTCACCTTTGGAAAAACTTTCCCTAAAACACATTAGCAAGTTATTCTTTGAATATTTTTCAAAGTTGATTTAATTATCTCATTTCAAGATTCAAATTAACCATTTTTAGTTCCTGGCTTCATTTCCTCAGAAACTATTGATTTGGGCCAGATCAATTAGTAACAAATTAAAGACAAATGTGTAAAACAAAACTCCACATCATTTAATTTGATAAAAGCAACTAATAGTAGGCTGCAGATTGCTTCACTTACTTATCAATGCCTTTGACGATAGTATCCCAAGTCCTTCCAGTTACCATACAAGCAAAAAGCCCATAAATATCACCGCTGATTCCTAAATTTCCACTAAATTGCCTCATGCCCTTTCTATCTCTGTCCAATATACTCAACCATAAATTCGCATAATTAATCCTAAATTCATCCTTCAAAGTCTGAAAAATACATATATTTGCTACTGGAATAGTTTAATATTTTAAAGTCTTACAGCATATAATCCATGATCTAATAAAATGATATCACACGCTCCCTTGGGATTTTTCTTAACCAATATATTTCCGGGATGTGGATCACTATGCACAAACCCATGAATAAATATCATTTCAGAATATAATTTTCCTAATTTACTTGATATTTCATAGGGATCAATATCATGTTCCTTGATGTATTTCAGGTCATTTACTTGTCCGCCTTCTAGAAAGTCCATTGTGAGGACTCTTGGAGTAGATAGGTCCCATCTAAAAAAAAATTGACTATGCAAGAACTGGTACTCAGATGTTATTCTCTTGTTATTGAAATTATATTTATTTACGCCACATTGCCTGACACTGATTAGACAAATAAGACCCAAACTATCTGAGGGGGAAACGAAAACCAAAAATCTGTTGGCTTCAGAAAACAAATATGGATGTACAGACTTATATTTGTTGAAAGAACTTTAGAGGACAGGATGGGATGATGTGATCTCGGATTTCACGCACATTGTTGTCTAAATTGAGAATTGATGATTGTACTCAACTGTAATATGTTACTTTCTTTCTATATCCCATGTTACTTAGAGAAAATTTTGTAACATTTTCGACCAACTTTTGATTTTGTATAAAACTAAATAATTTCTCAATTTTCTTACAGAAAATTTGAAAATTAAGCTTCAGGTAATGCAATGCAACCAATGCTAGCGAGTTCAACTCTGCAAGAGGCTCAAATTTATCGAGGGGGCAACACTGTCACCAGAAGAAGTGGGCCAACTGACACCCAGAAAAATAGCTTCCTTCGGCAGAAGCCTCCGCTTTCTGGAGACAATTTAAGATATAGATTCACGTACAAAATATTTGCAAAGGTAGCAGTGCTGAGCGGCTGGAAAGCCGAAACGACTCCCCCCACTTTCTACAATTTACAATGTCCAATTGTTCAGTCATACTATTAGCATGTTTATGAGAAGAGTGGAATGGAAAGGAAATAGACTCAACAATATACTAAAAAGATTTTCAAAAAATGGTCTTAAACAAAAGGACTTACATAGTCTTAATTTTGCTTAATTACAGTAAACCAGTTACTTCAAATGAAATTTACTAGTGTAGATGTAGGAAAAGATCAATCATTAATACAAAATCGAAATCAAAATGTATTGAAATAGTTGCTAACCACTCATCATCAAACTTTGAGCCATAATCAAAGTCGAGATCAAAGTATTTTCAGCAGTTATCTTTCCAGGGCAGTTAATATTATCCAATGTGAGTACTTTACAGTGGAAGGTTTCAGGAACTTCAGGAAATCAGGGACCCATAATGAAACAATTTTTAGGTGCTGTGTCTTCATAATCTTCAGAAGAGATTTTCTACACTTGGACTACTCCAATTCGCACAACAAATGTCAAGAGTAGAAAAACCAAGAAAATTGGTGTAGTTACCTAGATAATAAATATCAGTCATAGTATTATAATTAGTAGTTGCTATATTATTTTAAGAAAAATGTATTTTGACTATTTTGAAATAAATATTTCTGATTTTGATTTTGTCGCGCTAAAGTTGGTTGTGGTCAGTGGTGCCACCACTTTTACTTCGCTTGGCTGCGTCCACTAAGGGTTTATCTGAAAAGAGAGGATATGGGGGGAAGGAATACCACCACGAATATTTAATTTGTTTTATTACTAAACCTTAATTACACCTTATAGTTCAAGGAGATTTACCAAAATCCTAACACCGCCAGATGTTCGTCCCTGGTGGACCATGTTTTCGATTGTCAACTCGAAATGTAAGATGGATGCTTTACCACTCCCAACTCTTGAATTTAACCGATTTCTGGGCCTAACCATTGACAGTTCCTTGAGGTTTGAGGAACATATATCTAAGGTATGTAAAAAAATTTCTTCTGGATGTTATGCCCTTAAGGTAATAAGGCACAATTTAGGTTTCGCTATGGCCAGAAATTCGTACTATGCTATAATAGAACCCCATCTTCGCTACGGCATCGCGTTTTGGGGTGCGTGCTCTCAATATTTATTTACCTCAGTACTTTTACTGCAAAAGAGAGCAATTTGTTATCTCTGTGCTGCAAAAGTCCACGACTCCTGCCGTGGTTTATTTGGCCAGTGTGGAATATTAACCATTTGCTCATTGTTCATCCTGGAGACTGTAACCTTAATTTTTAAAAAATATAGGAATGAACTTAACCACATTGGACCATATCCGACCTGTCATCCTTTCTCATTGAATCTTCCAATACCTCACTCTCAACTTGTTAAAAGGTCTTTTTTATATGAGGGCAGAAAACTTTTTAACCATCTGCCCACAGAGGTTAGGAGGATTAATTGCTTAAAAAAATTCAGGAGAGCAGTAAAAAGGGTATGAGCACCTGGGGCATATTATACTTTGCCTGAATTTTATGAGACTGTTCTTGACTGATATATAGTATAGTGTGTTTTCTGTCTGGATATTTGCAGTTTATTGATTTTGTCCATTTATATGCATGTATATTGTAGGTCTTCTCTATGTATTATTATTAAACTTTATGTTGTATTGATTAAGTTTTATTGACTAGTGTTTTAATTTTAACCTGCATTGTTAATTTATTATTATTTATGTCTTGTGTTTAACTACTATTTTTTTTTTTTGTTCTCTTTTACCAAGGCTTTGTAACAACTAAGGTTTATACAATAAAGCTATTTTTTGACTTTTTGACTTGACTTAAGAATGTTTTAATGTTTAATGTAACCCAAGATGCACTAAAAGAACGGGTCTCCTAAGGGCATAGTTCTCGTAGGTCTAAACTTGGGGATGCTGTGACACGGCTGCTATAGACGAGACCTTCATCCAAAAGTTTCATAGTCTCGACTATACCTAGTCGTACCCAGCTAAGAAGGCAGGTCTTTAGGCTCGTACCTTATCAGGCATAAAGCAGTCCAGACCAACCTTGCCTTGCATTGCCGCAGTGCGTGAATTTATATTGAAATTATTGCTGGCATAAGCAAAATCGATCTGTTTTTAATAGTCCGGGGTGACCTCCTTTGGAAATTGACTTAATTTATGTAATGCGTGGGCTTGTGTACGTTAATGATTGCATAAAATAAATTTAATTCAAATTATTTAAATCAAGGGAATCCTGTCCTGTAACCCCTCTACTTCCAATAAATGTGAGATCTCTTTGCTAATATCAAAGACAATACTACTCATAGTAGTATTGTCTTTGCTAATATGTATACTTATAGATTTTTATTACCTTACAGCGGGTATTTTGAGCCACTCGACGTTTTTAAACATTTCGGCGATTTTTTCCGCATTTTTGCCTTCTTGAGCAAAATTTAATTCTTGCGGAATATTTTTCTTAGACTCGTCCACTAGCCATTGAAATTTAAACTCCGGAAATATCCAACTCATGATTTTAACTAAGTATTCCATAGTTTTCATGTCTATTCTTGAATTACCTAATAACATACATAGTTTTTTTTTTTTCAAATAACAATATACTGAATAGATTTACCTTGGACGTAAGGGTGTTGTACTTTTACAGCTAAAACTGTTCCATCTTTCAATTTGCATTTATGAACTTGTGCTAATGAAGCAGTACCTAAAGGTTCTGGTTCTATTGATTCAAATATTTCAAAGGGCTGAAAAAATATGACAAAATCTTATATTTTTTAGTGCAAAAATGTGTTCTTTAAACAAAAATTACTATTCTTACATCTTTCTTCAAATCCTCTTTAATAACTTTATAAATATCTTTAATATCAGTCGTTGGAGCATTACTATGTAAAACTTTCATTGTTTGAACATATTCCGAAGGTAGCAAATAGTCTAGAGCAGCTATATGCTGTCCTACTTTGATATAGACTCCGCGGTTAGCACAACATAAGTCTAGAAGTTTTTCAGCACATCTTTTGTGGCATACTGACTAGGAAACAATATTAAATTAAAACTATTGAAACAAACAAGTGTATCTACCTTTAATTCCTTGTATTCCTTTGATTTCTTATCAAACCCTTTGCCATACAGATCTCGTTTATAAATAACTCCACATTTGAATACAGTAATTGCAGCTCTGCTTAAACGTACAATACCTATAGAGTCCCATTCATACTGATTACGTTGTAAACTGAGGGCTGTACTTCCTAGGGCTCCCCCAATAAGGGAATATTTAATAATAGTGCGCATTTTACTTGAGATAAACATGTTAAATATATTCTCGATTCTGTTTCAAATAGAAAATTAGCTGCTTTCACTTTGATTTAAAGAATTTGTGCTACTTTAATACGAAGCATACAAATATGAAATTTACTTGCCAATAAATGTGTTATTTACTTTGTAAATTTTTAACTGAATTGAACTAATTGAAGAGCATGCCAATGTGTTTTTTTTTGGCTAGTTTAGAACTTTATATAGTGAATTTTACAATTATTCACAAATTACATTACCCCAAGGCCAAGGCCCAAATCAAAACAAAACATTACATAACCTCACACCGCAACGCAACGTTGCCAAATTGTGTGGTAAAAATATAAGCAAGTATCTTTATCCTTTTCTTTCTCACATTATAATTAAGGATGGAATCAAACTCCATTGGCGTTACTTTTGGCGGGAATTTCGCACATTGTTTTTCCAAGAAAATATCTATTTTTAAACAAATTTAAAGCAAAAAATCGTTTTTTATAGGTATTAATTCTATTTCAAATTTTAGTAGAGAATTTATTTATATTCGAAGCCTCTTTTGTGTGGATTTTGGATATTTTTTTTTAAGATAAAATATGGAATAGGGTACCTTAGCTACTCTTTTCGTATGGATTGAATGCCAGTGTTGTAGTGGGTGGTGTGGTGAATAGTCAGTTTCTGAGTTTCTTGAGACACCACACACTTGTTGCGATTTGTGACTTTTTTTGATTGATTTTACATAACAGAGACACACGTGTTTTTAAAATTGAGTGAACTAATTTTGTAAAGGTAAGTTTATAAATATTAATAATTATTATTAACATTTGGTAATGCCATGTATATTACTATTTCTTGTTTTAAAATTTAAGGTGTAAACTTTAATTTTAGATAATCAGTCAAGAAATAAATAGTAGTTTTGAAGTTAAAAATATGTTGGCAAAATCATCCAAGAAGGCCAAAGCCAAAGGCTCAGGTGCCGTAGACAATTGGTTAGAAAAATTAGATTTGTACAGGAAAAATGTTGCTTATGATGAAACCTGCCTGTTTCGTGCTGCTAGTGAACAGGTAGACACCTGTTTGATTCTGTAAAGTTTTTTTTTCAATTCTAATTATTCAACTTGTAGATTTACGACTGCCAAATTTACCATGAAAAAGTACGTAAAGAGTCGATCGAGTATGGCAGACTACATTTTGATCAATTCAAATTCTTAGTAGATATAGATGATCAAGAGGCTTGGGAAACTCATTTAAATAAGCTTGAAAATCATATGGTCGTATGTGGAAATATTGAGATCCATTTGATAAGCAAGACGTATGGGTAAGTCTGGAATTGGGACTTACCAAAACCTTATAAAAAAAAAATTAGTGCCTATGTGTATGCAACATGTGCTAAGTAGTCATTATTTTCTTGCTGTTCAAATTTAAAATATATAAAATAAAGTAGGTAGGTATACAAGTTCCATTTCGACTTTGTAACAAGTGCGTAAAGTGTCGTTCCCGCATAGCTTATCTGAGCCGTTTTCTCGCGTCCACTTTTTTGACATTGGTTCAAAACAGGTTTGCAACGGGCAATGGCTTAGAGGCAGCGCAGGTAAAGGTATAAAGGAGTAGTAACATGGAGTTGGAAAATGAAGCCGTTTTTTCCAGGTAGGTATTTTGGTTACCAAAAAATGGCGGTATAAGCATAGGGTTGCCAGGCCTCCTGGATTTTGCAGGATGTCCTGGATTCAGGGTCTTGTGTCCTGCGTCCTGCCGGAGTTGTCCGCAGGACACCAAATGTCCTGTATTTCATAAAATCCTTACTCTTAGAATATGAAAAATTTGTTTACTTTTATTTAGGCTGAGCTATTTTATAATTTAACGTGAGAGGCGCGAAAATGCACCATCTTACCAATAACATAGAAGCGCAAAGCGCGATCAAGAACTTGCAGCTCAAACTCTTGGGAGTGGCGCTCATTATTTTGATAATTCCTTGTGTAACAGTTTGTTTAGTGTTTATTCAAATTAATTTTGATATTCTTGGTCTGTAGGTCCATGATTATAAGTAAAGCCATGCGCCATGCTATAAATATAGGTATTTATTGTTTTTAATTTATATATTAAAGAAAGGAATGAAAGGATAAGTAGCCATGGATAGTTTGGAATCGGAACAGAAAGTTCTAAAGCCCCACCGAAAAAACTTAAAAAGCTAAGTAAATATATAGAAAAAAGTGGGAAACTCGAATCAGTTTTCCTGGCTTAAAGAAGATGATAGTTTGTCAAAAGCGTATTGTAAGCTGTGTAAAAAATCGTTTTCATTTGCTTATGGAGGCCTTGGAGAGATAAAGCGACACACTTTGGGAGCTGAACATAAAAAGCATGAAATAGTATGCTTAATCATACAATTTGTTAGACTGCGCTGTGCAGTTGCATGTTGCATTCCTTACTTTATGCGGACTCCAAGATTGCCAGCAAAATGCAGTTGGGTCGGACAAAGGCTAGTTCAATAGCCTTCAATGGTCTAGGCCTCTTTCGATAGAGCTAGGCCTCTTTCGATAGAGTCTACATTGGAAGAGCTGCGTTGCGTATAAATAATACATTTTTTGGAATTTCGACAGATGCTTCAAATCACGGTAGTGACAAACTCTTTCCGATACTACTTTTAGTACTTTTGAGTAGGTATTATAAATATTATTTTAGGAAAATGAAAGTCCTGATTTTCTCATTACTGTCCTGCATTTTCTCAACACATATCCTGCGAATTCAATTTTCAAACCTGGCAAACCTATATAAGCAATTCAATGCTTTACCTGTATTATTTGGTGCCATTGGTGCCAAAAACTTGGCTTCATTTCAGTTACCTCAATGTTAGTTTCATAGCAGAATGGTGCGTTCCTACTCCTTATGTCCGTAGGACAGCGTTTCACCTGCTCTAAGGGCAATGGTGTTTCCATTGACTGTTTCAAACCAATGTGAAAAAGTCGACGCGAGAAAATGGCTCTGATCTCTGCTTTGAGTCATTGTCTAACTGCTTTTGCATACATTGGAGTATCACTTTGCTTGCACACTTGTTGAGAAAATAACTATTTTTTGGTGTTCATCATTCTTGTATGTAGGTACCAAGCACGGTACCGGGTGATTGTCTATATGTTGCACCCACACCTATCTCACCTTATTTAAAGAGATACTCAGAAATGTCAAATGTGAAAGTTGTAGGTAATATCAGAAAGTTTTCAGTGAAGTTACTTACAAGTATACAGGGTATGTTACAAAAGTGTGGCAAACCAAAATTAAACTTTTTCAAATATACCTACTAGATTTTTTAGGTTTATTCCTAATAGTCCTGGAGAAAATAAGAAAAAAAGGGGTGGAATAATTGCATTTTTATTTATCAAGTAAAAAATTCATATATATTTTCTCAAAATGGGATATTCCGAGGCTGGACTATGAGGAATAAACCGAGGAATAAACCTAAAAAACCTAGTATAATTTATTTATTGACGGACAAAATGTCCATTTTTTCTTTACAAAAATTCACAGTGAGAAATATTATACACTAATACTTAGCCTAAACCTAAGCCTAAGGTTGGTAGCTTACAACTATGTTACAAGTTATGAAAATATAAAAATATAAATATATAATATAATTTAATTACAATTACAATTTAGACCCAAGCAATAATCACTTACGGATACAGGACTGGAATAACCTGAGACAGCTGTCGAAATGGTTCTCTGTGCAAGTAAAATCAAGCTCAGGAAATCTGTTGGCCAGAGACATGGCTCTAGGGGAAAAAAGAGTTTTTACTATAGTTAGTACGACAAAATGGTACATTAAAGAACAGATGATTTCGAGCATTAACCCGAGGAACATTTAGAGTAATCTAACCAGTGAGTTGCGGACATTCAATCATTGAATTGAACACTCTAAGGCCCGTATTCATAGTCGATGCTCAAGGTTGCGTCTTGGCTCAAGCACGACTTGACGCCTTATTTACGTTTCCAAACAGCACGGAATGATGCTCACAACTGTCAAAAATCGGTGCTTGACCCAAGCACCCGTCTATGAATACCGGGCTAAAAAGACAATGAAGATCATGGAGATCCCTGCGAGTCTCCAATGGAAGGAGATTCAACTCTCGATAAAGTACAGGATATGTGCTCTCATTGTTGAAAAATTTGTAGTTAATATGGCGAAGAAACTTTCTCTGAACTCTTTCGATTCTTGAAGAATGTATTTGATAGTATGGAGTCCACACAGAGGACGCGTATTCTAGATGAGACCTAACAAGACTGCAAAAAAGAATCTTAAGCGTACGGATGGAGGCAAAATCATAAGTGTTCCTCTTTATGAACACGAGCATCCTAAAAGCTTTGTCCACTATGACAGTAATGTGACCAACATAAGAGAGTTCAGGGTTAAGCATGATACCAAGGTCCTTTAAAGTTTCAGTTGTTGTAAGAACGTCATCCTTAATGAGATAATTAAAGTTAGTTTTTACTCGTTTTCGTGAAAAAATCATGAGTTTACACTTGGACGCATTTAGCTCCATTCCATTGGAATCACACCATTTCACAAATCCATTTAGGTCGCGCTGAAGGTCCAGACAGTCAGGAGGACTGGAAATGACTCTAAATGCCTTTAGATCATCTGCAAATAAAAGGATGCTGCAAGAAACAAAACAAAATGCCTTATCATTTATAAAGATATTAAAAATTAGTGGAGCCAGATGTGAACCTTGTGAAACTCCAGAGGTCACTGGTATATCACGAGATACAAAATTGTTAACCCTGACCTTCTGGACTCCACCAGTCATGTCAGTCCGAATCCAGTTGAGCATTGGACCAGAGATCCCACATGTTCTCAGTTTGTGTTGTGAGGAACTTTATCAAAAGCCTTAGCGAAATCTGTATATATTGAGTGAACCTCCAGTCCCCTTTCCAGTGCCCCTGCTATACTAGATGTGTAGAAAATGAGATTCGATTTCGTACTTCGACCAGCACAAAAGCCAAACTGTTCGTTAATTATCAAAGGTGATAGCATTGATGATAGAAATCTCGCCACTAGTTTCTCAAACAATTTTGGTATTGCACTCATAATACTGATAGCTCGGTAGTTTTTTACACTTGATTTATGGATAGGAATGACATAATTGATCTTCCAAATGTCAGGGAAGTAGCCAGAGTTCAAGGATTGATTAAAAATTCTATAAAGAGGTCTAGAAAGAATAAATGCACAGTTTCTTAAGAGAATTGGATGAATATTGTCTGGACCAGGTCCCTTAGATGCATCCAAACCAGCCAGTTCGGTGTAGATATCAGATATGAGCACATTGTGATTTGTAATATTAATGTCATTGAAAGAAAAGTCTGCCTGGTGTTCAGGCTGGTTTGGAGCATAAACTTAGCCAAAGTATCGAGCAAACAGATCGGCCGTCCCGACACCCACCTCAGAGTGCTTATCATCTAGATAGAGATCCGATGGAATGGCGGATGAATTACGTTTAGAATTTACAAGGTTCCAAAATTGTCTTGGATTGCCATCCAGTTCAGTCCCAATGTTTTGTATATAGCCTTTATACCACTGGTTAGACATCAATTTACATTGAGAATGTAAGTTAGAAAATATTATGTAGTTATGCTGGTTTGGATTGGACTTGTAGTTTTTATGAGCAATTTTTTTCTCACAAGTGAGGCTTATGAGTTCTCGAGAGAGCCAGATGGGGAATTTTTTACTGGCAACCTTTTTTAAAGGAACAAAAGCCTGAATTACATTATTTAAGACTTCATAGAAAGTATTTACCATTTCATTCACATCAAGACAACAGATAATTGAGTCCCAGTCAACCAGTCCCAAATATTAATCAGGATTGGATTGGATTGGATTGGAATCAGGTTTGAGAGGCAAATCCAATGGGCCAATAATATACAGGGTATTTCATTTAAAAAAGTATAATATTGCTTCGCCACACTTTTGTGACACACCCTGTATCTCGCCCCCGTATTTATACTTGTAACTCCATTGCAAAGTTTTTGATATTGCCTACAACTTTCACCTGTGATATTTCTGTGTATCTCTTCAAGCAGGTGAGATAGGTGTGACTGCAAAATATAGACAATCACCCGGTATATTTTATTGTGTTTTTGAAATTTTGAAATTTTAACACGCTTATGAATAATTAATTGCCCATATCTGCGACGACATATGAATAAATGGCTCACAATTATAAGTACATCATTGGAAAGAGTATTAGGTACATTCTCTATAAGCCTTGTAAAACTGGTTTTTGTAGCTTTTGAAGTTTCTGAGACATTGAGCTTCAGAATTGGAAATTTAGTCGGCATTTTGTTCAAAACTTCAAACTCGATTTTCTCAAAAACCGTGAACGCTAGCGATTTCAGCCAAATACTGTTTCGAAGACATTATCAAGAGCTACAATTCCTGAAAATTTCGTCCCACTAACGTTATTGGTTACCGAGATATTGAGGTTTGAAGATTTGCAAATAAAAATCCAAAGGGGGTGAGAATAAAAAAAGTGCCTTGAATCGCTGGATAGTTTTTCCAGAGACAATGAAACTCCGCTAATAGTTCAAATTTTGATTATTACCAACTCATGAGTCACTGGAAAATGTTTCCTAGAAAGCAGGAGCCAATACGGTAATTGTTCAAATTTTGATGATAATCGGTTGTAAATATTTTTTAAAGCTCCAGAGTTTCACTTTGAAATACAAATTCGAACTGTTGGCCCCTAAAGAATCAAGTAGCAACTTAAGAGCCGATGAAAATGAAAATTTGGATTCCAAAGTGAAATTGAGCTTCAGAAAATATTTACAGCAAATCAAGCCCGATTATCATCAAAATTTGAACTATTACCGGCTCTTGAGTCACTGAAAAACTTCTCCTAGAAACAAAACGATAAAGCTTCATTTTTCAAATTTGATTATTCTGTAATGCCTAAAATGAATTGATCTTATTCTTATAGCTTTAATTTCTAGTGACATGCACAAATGCTTTTATAATATTTTCTTAGATTTTTCCTCTTCATCTCCAGATTGGAAACCACTTGACCTCTATCTCCACTCAAATTCAAAGAACTATGGGAAATATTTATCACATAATAGAAAAAGTTTCTATTTAAAATTTTTGAGGTGGTTCCCTCTTCAGTATGTTTTTTTTATAAATCAAATATGTACCTAGTTGTAAATAATCACCCCACTTTGCCGAGAAAAGATTCAATTTTTATTGTACTTTATATAGGTAACATTTATTTTACAAAGTTTCACTAAAAAATGAATCTCTAAGTCTCTATGAAGTATAATACTTGTTGGAGGACGCGTATTCTAGATGAGACCTAACAAGACTGCAAAAAAGAATCTTAAGCGTACGGATGGAGGCAAAATCATAAGTGTTCCTCTTTATGAACACGAGCATCCTAAAAGCTTTGTCCACTATGACAGTAATGTGACCAACATAAGAGAGTTCAGGGTTAAGCATGATACCAAGGTCCTTTAAAGTTTCAGTTGTTGTAAGAACGTCATCCTTAATGAGATAATTAAAGTTAGTTTTTACTCGTTTTCGTGAAAAAATCATGAGTTTACACTTGGACGCATTTAGCTCCATTCCATTGGAATCACACCATTCCACAAATCCATTTAGGTCGCGCTGAAGGTCCAGACAGTCAGGAGGACTGGAAATGACTCTAAATGCCTTTAGATCATCTGCAAATAAAAGGATGCTGCAAGAAACAAAACAAAATGCCTTATCATTTATAAAGATATTAAAAATTAGTGGAGCCAGATGTGAACCTTGTGAAACTCCAGAGGTCACTGGTATATCACGAGATACAAAATTGTTAACCCTGACCTTCTGGACTCCACCAGTCATGTCAGTCCGAATCCAGTTGAGCATTGGACCAGAGATCCCACATGTTCTCAGTTTGTGTTGTGAGGAACTTTATCAAAAGCCTTAGCGAAATCTGTATATATTGAGTGAACCTCCAGTCCCCTTTCCAGTGCCCCTGCTATACTAGATGTGTAGAAAATGAGATTCGATTTCGTACTTCGACCAGCACAAAAGCCAAACTGTTCGTTAATTATCAAAGGTGATAGCATTGATGATAGAAATCTCGCCACTAGTTTCTCAAACAATTTTGGTATTGCACTCATAATACTGATAGCTCGGTAGTTTTTTACACTTGATTTATGGATAGGAATGACATAATTGATCTTCCAAATGTCAGGGAAGTAGCCAGAGTTCAAGGATTGATTAAAAATTCTATAAAGAGGTCTAGAAAGAATAAATGCACAGTTTCTTAAGAGAATTGGATGAATATTGTCTGGACCAGGTCCCTTAGATGCATCCAAACCAGCCAGTTCGGTGTAGATATCAGATATGAGCACATTGTGATTTGTAATATTAATGTCATTGAAAGAAAAGTCTGCCTGGTGTTCAGGCTGGTTTGGAGCATAAACTTAGCCAAAGTATCGAGCAAACAGATCGGCCGTCCCGACACCCACCTCAGAGTGCTTATCATCTAGATAGAGATCCGATGGAATGGCGGATGAATTACGTTTAGAATTTACAAGGTTCCAAAATTGTCTTGGATTGCCATCCAGTTCAGTCCCAATGTTTTGTATATAGCCTTTATACCACTGGTTAGACATCAATTTACATTGAGAATGTAAGTTAGAAAATATTATGTAGTTATGCTGGTTTGGATTGGACTTGTAGTTTTTATGAGCAATTTTTTTCTCACAAGTGAGGCTTATGAGTTCTCGAGAGAGCCAGATGGGGAATTTTTTACTGGCAACCTTTTTTAAAGGAACAAAAGCCTGAATTACATTATTTAAGACTTCATAGAAAGTATTTACCATTTCATTCACATCAAGACAACAGATAATTGAGTCCCAGTCAACCAGTCCCAAATATTAATCAGGATTGGATTGGATTGGATTGGAATCAGGTTTGAGAGGCAAATCCAATGGGCCAATAATATACAGGGTATTTCATTTAAAAAAGTATAATATTGCTTCGCCACACTTTTGTGACACACCCTGTATCTCGCCCCCGTATTTATACTTGTAACTCCATTGCAAAGTTTTTGATATTGCCTACAACTTTCACCTGTGATATTTCTGTGTATCTCTTCAAGCAGGTGAGATAGGTGTGACTGCAAAATATAGACAATCACCCGGTATATTTTATTGTGTTTTTGAAATTTTGAAATTTTAACACGCTTATGAATAATTAATTGCCCATATCTGCGACGACATATGAATAAATGGCTCACAATTATAAGTACATCATTGGAAAGAGTATTAGGTACATTCTCTATAAGCCTTGTAAAACTGGTTTTTGTAGCTTTTGAAGTTTCTGAGACATTGAGCTTCAGAATTGGAAATTTAGTCGGCATTTTGTTCAAAACTTCAAACTCGATTTTCTCAAAAACCGTGAACGCTAGCGATTTCAGCCAAATACTGTTTCGAAGACATTATCAAGAGCTACAATTCCTGAAAATTTCGTCCCACTAACGTTATTGGTTACCGAGATATTGAGGTTTGAAGATTTGCAAATAAAAATCCAAAGGGGGTGAGAATAAAAAAAGTGCCTTGAATCGCTGGATAGTTTTTCCAGAGACAATGAAACTCCGCTAATAGTTCAAATTTTGATTATTACCAACTCATGAGTCACTGGAAAATGTTTCCTAGAAAGCAGGAGCCAATACGGTAATTGTTCAAATTTTGATGATAATCGGTTGTAAATATTTTTTAAAGCTCCAGAGTTTCACTTTGAAATACAAATTCGAACTGTTGGCCCCTAAAGAATCAAGTAGCAACTTAAGAGCCGATGAAAATGAAAATTTGGATTCCAAAGTGAAATTGAGCTTCAGAAAATATTTACAGCAAATCAAGCCCGATTATCATCAAAATTTGAACTATTACCGGCTCTTGAGTCACTGAAAAACTTCTCCTAGAAACAAAACGATAAAGCTTCATTTTTCAAATTTGATTATTCTGTAATGCCTAAAATGAATTGATCTTATTCTTATAGCTTTAATTTCTAGTGACATGCACAAATGCTTTTATAATATTTTCTTAGATTTTTCCTCTTCATCTCCAGATTGGAAACCACTTGACCTCTATCTCCACTCAAATTCAAAGAACTATGGGAAATATTTATCACATAATAGAAAAAGTTTCTATTTAAAATTTTTGAGGTGGTTCCCTCTTCAGTATGTTTTTTTTATAAATCAAATATGTACCTAGTTGTAAATAATCACCCCACTTTGCCGAGAAAAGATTCAATTTTTATTGTACTTTATATAGGTAACATTTATTTTACAAAGTTTCACTAAAAAATGAATCTCTAAGTCTCTATGAAGTATAATACTTATGTATTTCTTGCAAACTTTAGGCGTGACGTCCTAGTATTCCATGCAAATCAGCAAATAATCTATGATGTCACTAAACAATCGTCACCCACTGTGCCCATAATGCTTTGCCTGATGGACGATGATCATTATGATGTTGTCTATCGCAAGGAGCAGATTAAAACTGCGGGATTTTGTCAATGTAAGGTCCTGAAAATAACATAGATTTTTTATTTTATTTTATGTTTTCCTAGCGCTCGTTTATAAACTGCTATATGGAAATGTATTCAAAATCCCTAACGTAGAAGACATAGTTGATCAGATGCTTAATTCAAATAACGTAACTGTTATCAGTGAACAGGAATTAGAAAAACAAAAAGAAAAAGGGAATGATGTGAAAGTTGAAGAGATTAACGATGTTGTGGTTGCACCATTTCCTTTCAAAATAGCCAAAGCTTTGGATCCTAATATTTATAGAAACATTGAGTATGATTCTTGGGGTCAAGCTAGAAGAGGTATGATTAAAATAACTTATAAAAATGCGTTTTTAACGAAAATTTTAACAGAAATAAGGCTTGGCGCATGGTATCATGGAGATGACAAGCTAATACTTGGTACAAAGTGCATGTTCAAAGATTCAGAGTCCGATAAGTCGTTCGAGTGTTACATACAGGACCTTTCCCTAGATGAAGGCATGTGCCTTGTGTTTTTGACTGAATTGGGTGAGAGGCGGAAAGTGAAATATTCAGATTTGGCACCAGAGACCAACGCTCAACCTTGGCCTTTGCCTGTCAGGTAACTATTTCTCCATCAATTTTGTGTAAGTAGTATTATTTCTGCTTCAACAAAAAACACAATGTTTTTTCACAGTCTTGTTCACTTTGTAGGTACCTAAATATCCACAGGGCGCGAAAATAATTAAGATTTCATAATTTCTTATCAATGAGTATCTTTTAGATACCTGATTTATTTAGAGTTAATTAATTTTTCAAAAATGTTTTTAAGATGACTATTTTCAAGTTTCAATTAGAAAAATTGTATTTTTAAAATTATAACAGGTTGTCTCTTTTTAACCAGGATTTTCTGGTAAAATATATAAACTCTTCTTGGTATTTTTGCAAGATCTATTACTTAAATTAAGACATGCGGTTCCCATTTGATGATTGATATGATGTTTAAAGATTTGTCAAAAATAACCAAGGACATACCTATCAACTGGCTTTCTTGGATAAACATAAAGATTCACGAAGAAGGAACACCGATAGAAAACATAGCAGAAGCATCAACGATTTGTCTGATGTGGAAAAATTCGATGATAATATTAACGCCTTTATTGGTACACCATTGGTAAGAAATTAAAATTTCAAATTACTCATTAATAATAAATAAATAAATAATATAGCAAATGAAAAATAAAAAGAAAAACAAGAATCAGCATCCTCAAACAGAAGCATGTGAAACAATTTCACCTGCTCTTCCTGAATCCCAAGGACCATTGACATCTGATATCAATAACTATCCACAAAGGCAACAAATCAATACTTTATCCGTATTGTTTTTTCTATTATTGCCATTTTAGGTACCAATGGGAACCAGTGCATTGGCCCACTCCTGTACAATACATCTCAGCTGAGCCTAACTATTATCCTCAGTCACCAGAGCCATTTATCTGGCCACAAGCACCAGCTACTCCATTTTTTGACTACAAACCAATGTTAGCATCAGCTCCAGCTACTCCAAATGTTGTGCCATATCACGGTAAAAAGTCTATTTAATTTTATTCGATTATTCTTGATTATTTTTTCAGACAATTCCTACCCTTACCTCTACAACTACCAATTAGAAGAATATCCGCTTTATTTTCCATTAACCCCTACCACTCCGTCAACCAGTCAACAGTTTACATATAACCAAACCGAATGGCCTGAGGAAAATTATAACAATAACCTTAGCAATGGGATGTATTGTCCATGTCCATTGCCATGTAGTCTTCAAAACAGTCCAGGAACTAATGTGATGTTCACGCCACAAACTCCGCAACCTTTGGACATGTATTCGCCACTTTTGAATTATCCATCAGGTAATTTTTCACTAGTAATATAACTAGTGCATAAAATATTTCCAGAAATTTTTGAATATTTTGCCTGAAGCTAATTTTTTAACATGTATTCGGGATACCATGGCAGAAGCGCACATAAATTCTGTTACAATATTCAATTTGATTATTTCAGTTCCAGATTCCCCAACTATTTACACTGCCCCGCCGCCTCCCCAACCGGACCTGGTATCTAACGCCCACATTTACACTCCTATTATACCTACATCGCCAATGATTGACCAGCATCTGCCACCAACTCAAGGGTTCATTTATCCATCGCCTTCTACTCCAAACGGACCTGGCGTAGACTGGGAATGGTACCAACATCCACGACCGAATTCTTCTTATAACTCGCAAGGATTTATTTTTCCCCAGCCAGATGAAAATAATAATGATTATGAAGACTATCAGGAGAACTAGTAATAAGGTTTATTTTGATTTATTTTTTTTAAGAATTAAGCTTTTTGTTTTTTCTGTTATGTTCTTAGTAGTTATAATGTTTAATATTTTCTCAGGTTAGCATATTTATATTATTTTTGGTTAATTTGAGTTGCTTTTTAAAGAATTGAGTTTTTATTTATTTTTTTTGCCCTTAAATAAATATAAGAAGACAACTTATAGTATTAAGTACACTGCAGTTTAATGTTTACTTATAAGGATAATGTAACTGTAAAACAGTATTGCTTTATTATTCTATTATTTTTTGCCTTTGTATCTTTTTTGAATTAAATAATTTATAAGACTTATAACTTACAGTATTACCTACACTGCAGTTTAATGTTTGGTATAATAAGATTATCATTCAAGAATTTTTTGAACTGGAAACAGTATTTATTTTTCATTATTTAGGATAAGGCTTTATTTTCGTATTATTTTGTAACTTGTAAGACTACACATTTTTCATGCCTAAAAGGACATGAATGAGTATTATATTTAATCCCGAAGTGCCAAAAACTCAACATGTGATTTAGGCTATATTATGTATTTTGTTCTTGTTATTACCAAAGTCATAGGCGCCGACTCTTTGGGGGCACGTGCTTCCATAGTGAACATGAAACTAGCAACTATTATTAGTTTTTCTCTCATCTTTTTGGTGCTTTTGCTATTTCTGCCTCCTAGAGTGATTTTAAAGATTCGGTGCCTATGGCCATATTTTTTTAGGAATTTTGTTTTGTTTTGTACCCTTGTTATATGGGAAATGAAGGTTTAGTTTATATACTTGTTTAAAATTTCATGGGAAATGAAATTAAAATATTAAAAGTAATATTGTTGATTTTTTATTCTTCCGTCCACTCAAAAAATTATTGGTGGATAAGGACTCGGTTCCCGTATAGCATTGTCACAGAGAGGCTGTGACAATGCTATAAGGGGGCGTAGGGTGGATAGAAACTCATTCAGTTTTATATAAAAAGGTGAATATTTGCTAAGAAGTCATTACGTCATGGATCCTCTGGATGCATGCTCTTTCGTGGAAAAGGCCACAAGTCTGACGCTACTTAGGACGGAATGTCAGTTTAATGCTAATGTTACATAGAATGTTAATTGTAGTTTAACTGATCCTCATCTAGAGGGGCTCTTCCAGGGTGGCGGTACTTGCACTAGATGACGATACAGTTTCACAGGGTGGTAGTACTTGCACTGGTGAGACTTGATTTCAGAGGGTGGCGGTACTAACATTGGTTCAAGTCTGTCTGTTGCTTGGTTTGGCCCACTATTTATATGAATTTATTGCCGACATGCAATAAACATTCGATCGAATCGGCAATTAATAAGGCTGAATACCGGGTCCTCATTTCCTAAGTAGCTAGTTGATAGTATATTCAATGAATTCAAAAGAAGAGTTTGAAAAACTAAAGGAAAGGAGTGGTTTAAGATTGCAACAATAATTATAAATTAGAAAATCTATTTATTAGCCAATAATCAAAACGTGTACAATTAGTGTGAAAATTATTTTCATAAGGACATTATAAGCCAGATTCATACAAAGTTATAAGTATGCAAATACAAATGTGATAAAAAGATGCAACTGAAAATTACAAAATAAGCTAAAATAATAATACTTAAGACTCATCATCACTGCCTTGAGGTGGTCTGGCTTTGGGACCGCCTGCCCTCTTTGCCATAATAATTTGATCAACTCTAAGAATTGTAGCTGCTGCATTAACAGCATATTTAATGCCCCAGAATTTAGCTTGGTACAAATCCAGAATTTTCTTTTCGACAGCGTCACAAACCTCATTTTCAGATTCAATATCAATTCCAATGGTTTTCTGACCAGACTACAAACACAAAATGAGTGAGGCACGTATTTTAAAAAACAATAATTCTTACTTGATGGGCTTCCAGTACTTTATCTAAAACAATTTGAGATTTCAATCCGCTGTTGTCTGCTAAAGCTTTAGGGAAAGCTTCAAGAGCAGTGGCAAATTTACGCACGGCATACTGTTCAAGACCAGGAAGAGTATCTGCGTATTTCAGCAGTTGAACTGCTAATTCGGCTTCTGTGGCGCCAGCGCCAGCAAGAAATCGTGGATCTCTAGCCAACCCCTAAAGAAAATGACAATAAATAATTTTTTTGTCATACGCTCCCAAAACGGCTATTTTACGGACTCATTCAAGTCCGTTAAATGCTTCTTTTTAGGATTTTTTTTTCTTTCTGGATGCACCTTTATGATTTCAAAAATTAAGGAAATTTGACAAATTTTAGCGTTCTGAAGAATTCTAAAAAGCGTATGACAAAAAATAGTGTTTGTCACACGTACCTGACGAAGTTTTTCAGGACTCATCTGCTATTCCGGACTCGGCTAACGCCTCATCCGGAAACAGCAATGATTTGCCCTGAAAAACTTCATTTTAGGTACTTGTGACAAAAATAACTATATTTTCAACTGTCCATGTAATATTGACATTACAGACTTTTCAAAATCTTGAAACTGTCACATTTCTGTACTTTGACATTTTATCGGCACTGCAATGTATATGCCTGCCTAGGCAGGCATATCCGTTTCCGTCCCGATTTCCCTGCTTGTTTTTTTTGTCAAAATTGATGACATTGACAAAAAAAAAAAAAGTGAAAGATGATTATTTCTAAGGCCAATTCACACTATTATTTCGTACTTACTATAAAACCTTTTTCAGAAATTGACGGTTGAAAATAAAATAGTATACAAACCTCGACGGAAAACTTCATTTCTGTCTCGAGGTTTAGTTTATATTATTTAACCTCTTGACCAGCAATGAAACATTTTCCATCTCGGATTGTAATATACTATTATTTTTAACCATATATGAAAAGTTGTCATTACTGACTTTTCAAAAATTTGAAAATGTCACATTTCCGTCTTTTCATTTTCCTGCTCCATTACCTGTCCCAGTACGGGAAATGAGGACGCGAAATTTTTTCCGTCCTCATTTCCCGTCCACAGACGGAAAATGGAGCCAGGGAAATATTTCCCGTCCCCTTTTCCCTCCTCATTTCCCGACCTCATCTGGTTGCCCCGAATTTTTTTTTTTCAAGAAATTATGGTTAAAAATAAAATAGTATACAAACTTCATTGCTGTCTCGAGGTTCAGTTTACTATAAAACCTCTCGACCAGCAATGAAGTATTTCCCCTCTCACGTCTCGGATTGTAGAGTCCGCGTCAAGAGTAAAGAGTATGGTGTCGTCATATGGGCACAAACCCAATTTTGAAGACTAACCGAACTATCGTATCGATCGGTGCTGCTGCCGAACGCCAAGCATGTGGTTCATTGTCGTACGGCCAGCAGGCATATTTATTTAGTTTATTTTGTATCCAAGTTTTGTCTAAAAAAATACCCCGCTGCTGGTTTCAGCTCACGGCCGAGGTCACGGCAGACAGCGAGAGATAGACAAGGGAGAGAGATCCGACCCACTTCGCGCAGCTTTTTATGTCGTCACCGTAGTCTTTACTGCTGATGCGGACTCTAATATACTATAACTACTTAACAGATATTTTTTGTATTACCTTGAATGTATTTACTCCATCATCAATGGCTCTTTCAATATCGTCCATGTAATTATCTGTGGCTCCTCTGATAAGAATTGTAGCGATTTTGGATTCTGTACCTTTTTGTCTGAAAGCCACAATGGAGGTATCTCCTAATTCTTCTAAACAGACCAAGTCACAGTAGCCCAATTCTTGAGGACTGGGAGCAGTGAGTCTGGGCAATACAGTACCGTTCACCTAAAAAAGTTAAATCAAACTAAATACATAATCACAGAATAAAATAACAATAATTTAAATTGAGGCCAGTGACAGTTCTCGCAAATGGTTCATAAGGCCCAAAAAAATCAATGTTTCCCAGCTCATTACACAGTCTGCGGGTATGAGGAATGAAAGAGTGATATGACAGATGAAAAGTTTGAGATATGCGGTTGTTACGTGATGGGACATGTAGGGCGATTTTAGAAGTCAAGTAGGGGCAGTCAATTGTGGAATTTGGGATTTCATGTATCAGTTTGAGGTCTTTCTTGAGTGTGTCACAAAGTGGTGCATGATGAAATTCATCATTTTCAAAAAATTTGCTCGAAAATTTGTAATTAAGATATCTGCAAAATTTATGCTGCACACCTTCAAGGCGATGAATATGATATTCTGGTTCTCGAAAATGCTCAGCGCTTTTCAGTCGCTCGGCACTTCTAATGTAAATTTACATTAAAAATGCCGAGCGAAAAGTGGTGAGCCTTTTCGGAAATGACAATACCTGATCTGATTCACGCAGTCCAATGGCGTACCATTGATGTGATATTATTAAAGGTTTTAGACCTGTGGAATTTCATAACTTTACACTTTGTAACATTAAGATCCATGCCATTAGTTTGGGTGAATTAACCTGTCAAGATTCTCTTGCAATGCATCGAGTAACGATTTTCCAAAATAATTTCAAGTCATCGGCAAAAAGAAGAAATGAAGAGTGTAGGAAACAAGAATATATGTCATTGATAAACAGGTTGAAGAGCAGTGCGCCTAAATGCAAGTCTGAGGAACACCTGATGACACCAAGATTTGGGAAGAGGTAAAGTTGTTAATATGAACTATCTGTGTCTTTCCTGTAAGATAGCTTGAAGGCTTCCCACCCATTAAAGCAGAGACCCAGAAATGCCAAGTCTCTCTGGTTTTTTGGTAAGGACTAAATGATTGACGCTGTCAAACGCCTTGGAGAACTCAGTGTATATAGTACTCGATATAGTATGTACAGGGTGTCCCAAATTCAAGGGTGACCATTGAGATATCGGAAACTATAAGAGATACGAGGTCAGTTAAATTATGGCAAAGTTGCACAATTTTATAACCAAAAAAATGCCGTTTTGAAATTTGAAAAATTCCAAATACTTCCGAAGTTATTCGGAAAAAACCGAAATTTTGCAAAATCATTTTTATTTTTTCCTGAGTCTATTTGAAGAGCAATTTTTAAATAAATGTCACTTCATCGTTGTCACTTTTTCCCCTTTACAAGATTTTGCTACCAAATTTCAGATTCAACGTTTCGTCTTTGGGCGGCCATCATCAACTTTATTTTTTCAAATATGGATCCTTATTTTTTATTTTAGATTTTATGAGCCTCTGATGTCGCAAAACCTATGACATATTGGACTTATTCAAAAAATTTATATTACTGGCACTTTCCATAAGAACTTAATGTGTTAGAGAGAGACAGGGAAGAGAATTTTGGTGGGAAATTACTAAAAATTTAAAAAATATATTTTTTCGAGTAAATGCGATACGTCATACGTTTTGGGACATCAAAAGCTCATAAAATCGACAATAAAAATAAGGCTCGGTATTTAAAAAAATAAAGTTGATGATGGCCGCCCAAAGACGAAACGTTGAATCTGAAATTTGGTAGCAACATCTTGTGAAGTGAGAAAAGTGACAATGATGAAGTGACATCTATTTTAAAATTGCTCTTCAAATAGGCTGAAGAAAAAATATTAAAAATAAAAATTATTTTGCAAAATTTTGTTTTTTTTCGAATATCTTCGAAAGTAGGTATATGGAATTTTTCAAATTTCAAAACAGAATTTTATTGGTCATAAAATTGCGCAACTTTGCCATACTTTAACCGACCTCGTATCTCTTATAGTTTCCAATATCTCAATGGTCACCCTCGAATTTGAGGCACCCTGTACCTTATTAATAAAGAATTAGGACATTAGGTACAGAAAATGTAGTTTTGATGAAAATTATGATTATTTATTAATGTAGGATTACTACTTACAGTTTTGCTCAATCTTCTCAGCTCAAACTTTGAGTTCAGTCTAACAGCCATCATTTGGTATTTATGAATGTAATGAAGAGCCATGTCTCCAAACTTGGCTCCAGCAACTATAACTTTAACACCAGCATCAGCAATCGATTTAATTTGAAGCTCTAATAGGTTCTCTTCACCACGACTAAAGTTCATCAACTCATCAGCACTTTTAATCAAAACAGTACCTAAAAATAATTTATTTATAAATGAAGCTTGGGTTTATTTTAAAGCTAACCTTTAGTTTCAGTTTGCAAAATATCCACGGGGCAACTGTAAAGAGCTACCTTAGCATTTTCTGCCTGGGTAATTTCACCTTCCACTTGTCTTTTGAATACCATGCCTTGCACAACTTGAGAAGCATGCAATCCTGACCCAAGAACCTTACACACCCTAACATTGTCAACATTGAAGGTGGTTTTCTCTGGTAGAATAGAAATGCAAGCCTTGGTAACCAAGTCAGCTAAAAATTCTTCATTCCCATACTGTTTAGATTCAATGGCAGTCTTAATAGTTTGTTTAACTTCATCGATATTCTTGCTGTCTTTAACTGTGTAGCAAACAAGACTGGGTAGGATTTCCAAGCACTTTTCTAGTCCTTTTTCATATCCTTCTGCTATTTCAGTAGGAGTAACACCAAGACGAATTAATTCTTCTGAGCATTCTAGAAAAAAATGTTTTTAATTATGTAGATATAGAGGACTCTTTTGAAAGCTAAAATATCTTACCTAATAAAGCACCAGCTAGAACAATGACAAAGTTAGTTCCATCTCCCACTTCAGCATCTTGCATTTCACTGGCCAAAATCATTAGTTTGGCTGCAGGATGTTCAACATCGAGCTCTCTTATAATAGTAGCAGCATCGCTGGTAACAAATTGCTTTTCTATGTGGTTTATGACCATTTTGTTCATGCCGTTGGGGCCATAAGCTGAACGTACTGAATGGGCGAATTCTTTGCATGCTTTTATGTTACGGATAACGGCTTCTTCTATACCGGAGTAGTACTAAAATTGTTCAAAGGGTTGAATGAGATTTTTAAAATTTTGACTGCCCACCCACACCTAACCCAAACACATGTGACTTAAATCGAATATTTTGAATGAAATAACTTACCCGGGAGCCGTCTTTCATCATTTGGGCAAAGCCCGGTGCCTTAGGAACGTGTAGAGCCATTTTTCAAGTTTTGTTTTAGTATATTTTTATTTATTACAAGGGCTTATTTTTCGTCTAGAATTTTCACAAAAACCACACCACGTTTATTTTCAGAAGTAGAAGTGACATTTGATAATCTGACAGCACGGAGTTGAACTGGAGTCAGACAAAGAGTCAGAGCAGTTTTTTGTCACGTGTTCTCGGAGTAGGAATTATACCCGAACGACCCAGAGCTATTGGAGTAGAAAAATGTCCACTCGTCACCAGTGGCGTAGCCAGGATTTTGTCTTGGGGGGGGCAAATTTGCAGGAAGCGTCTTTTGCGGCCCTACCGCGACCGCTGCCAGAGGCAAAGCGCCGCAGGCGCGAAATTTTTGGGTGCCACGCCCCTTTTTCAGGTTTCTTTACGCTATTTTTGGGACTGTTTATCTTAATTTTGAAGAAATATTCATAAAATTTAAGGGTCTTGGGGGGGCAAATGCCCCCTTGCCCCCCCCTGGCTACGCCAGTGCTCGTCACTTTCGAAGAGTTTCAACCAAGGTTGTTTGCAGAGGTTTTTAGAATCCTTACTTTTAACAACTAACTCGACCACCAATGACCTCACTCAACCAACAATAGTTGTATTCCTTTCAAGAGTTTGAAGCACTCGAGCTACTCGTTTTGGTGTTTAGTAGCCCCCGATTTGCTGGGTGGTGCGACAAACACTTTTCGAAAGGAATAAGCGCGTGAAGCTCCGGAGCTGTTCCGGAGCTCCTCCTAGGTGTGAAAGGAATACAACTAATGATTTTCCGCGTGTGGCTAAATTCAGCTGGTGTAGGCACCGTGGTGGAATGGTAGTAAAAGATGTTAAATAGAGAACAATCATATTTTCCAAAGTATTTTTTGTCCTATTGTCGGTGGAACTCGTAATGTCAACTGTCTGCAGTCTGTAAATCAAACGTTAAGAAGGTCTAGCTGTTTTGTCGCGGTTCAATAAGGTTCGAACCTGTACATTCTTGCGTTGAACCAGTGACGTCACATTGAACCTGGTTCAAAAAAGTTCGAACCGGACTCATGGCTTGTTCTTCGTTGACATGAGACTGTGGTATAGCATATGCATTAGGGAATCGATATTTGACCGCACCGGTGATATTGCACCATTTTAATGAATTTAAAGCCACGCGCGTTTTATGATTTGAACTCTTACTTTTGGAGTAAGCTCCATTTGTCCGACTCGGTACATGCGAAACTGCTTAGTTACTCTATTAGGCTGTTAATAGTTGTATTCCTTTCAAGAACTTGAAACACTTGAGCTACTCGCTCCGGTGTTTAGTCGCCCACGATTTGCAGGGAACAGATGCGTGGTGGAACAAACACTTTTCGAAAGGAATAAGCGCGTGAAGCCCCGGAGCTGTTCCGGAGCTCCTCCTAGGTGTGAAAGGAATACAACTACTTAATTTGTACTGCTTTTCTTGCTTCAGGCCGATCGGCGTTCACTTGTCCCATAACTCCCATATAATAAGCTCATAAATAGCCAATGTAAATAGCAGCTCCTATCAGATCTTCCTGATTTTTCGAGCAAGGTGTTTTTTTCGCGGGGCGAATGGTTCGAACTACGGTTTAAACCAATTTGTGGATGACGTCATTACTGGTGAACGCGAGAAAATCAAAGGTTTGAACCACCACTCTTATGTCAACGGAGAACAAGCCAAGAGTCCAGTTCGAACTCTTTTGAACCAGGTTCAATGTGACGTCACTGGTTCAACGCAAGAGTGTACAGGTTCAAATCTATTTGAACCGGATCGAACCAGTTCCACGGCGAGAAAACAGATCAAATCTGTTCTAAAAATTGATCAAAAATCTGTTCCGATCTCATTTACTATCAAATGAAACCCTAAACTTGATCACAATTTAAAAAAAAATCCCGAACAGCAGTGTTCTAGAACACATTGAACTTATTCCATTTTTTGTTCGTAATTCAATTAGAACCAGTTCCAAACTATTTAAAGTTCAACTATTTAAAATCAGTTCCAAAACGTTTCTTTGTGTTCTAAAGACCTGTTCGACCGAATTAGTTCACGATCAAAAAATCAAAAAAAAAAGGTTATCAAAAAAAAAGGTAATGAATCTATTATAAACGAGTTTGTTCATACTCAGCTTAGAATCAGTTCTGAATGTTCTGAACTGCGCTTACGCATTTGTTCATATCGAACATACATATTACGCAGTTCAATTCAAAACTGATTCAATATGTTGCGTTGTTCCGAACACACTGAATTGTTTGCAGTTCATTTAGAACCGATTTCAGATGATATTTATACTGGTTCTCAGAGTTCCAAGTAGTTCGATTATATTATATAATGCACAATTAATGTTCTAAAACCCATTAAACTTACTAGTACAAATAATTCTGGATCATTTCTGGACTGGTTTAAAGAGTTCCGAGTAGTTCAATTGTTGTTCCGAACTAGAAAAAATTATGAACTAAATTATTATTAAATGCATACGGTGCAGGAGGATCCTAAATTAGTGTCTTGGATCACATCAACAATTCATCAATTAGTCTTGAACTGGTTCACAATCGAACAATCTTTAACTTATGTCCCAGATCATTGAATTTACTGTTCTTTGTTCGCGGTGCACCTAGAATCAGTTCCAAATCGGTTTTATTGGCTCTCAAACCCAAAAACCTGTTCCGAACTCGTTTGCTTTTATACTCTTCAATATTCGAACTATTTTTCAAAGTAAAAAAATACAATTTTGAACGATTTGCTTACTCAGAGTACTCCAAATATGGCAAATAGAGTAATTATAATCATGTTTGAGTATAAGGAGGGAAATAAATACGACTTTTCAATGAATAAACCTAATCTGTTTACTCCAAAACAGTAGTATTTAAGAGTAAACAGAGTTAAATTTAGTGCACTAAAACGAAAATTTCAGACCGTTGCCCGATTAGTTTCGAACATAAAAAAACCTTCACTGGATCCAGAATTGGTGTTCTAGAGACAACAATAAACAGAATTTGAGTAAAAACAGTTGATTGAAATGGAATCTCCTCTGAAAAGTACGCAAACATTAATCTACTAATCCGAAAATGCCGGTAGTGCAGGCACCTGCAACGATAAATGGAATTCGATTTTCGTTAAGTCACTCATCATTTTAAAAATGAAATTCAATCAATGAAAGGCTTTTTTCGCGGGGCGAATGGTTCAAACTACGGCTTAAACCAATTTGTAGCTGACGTCATCACTGGTGAACGCGAGGAAATGGAAGGTTTGAACACACTCTTATGTTAACGGAGAACAAGCCAAGAGTCCGGTTCGAACTTTTTTGAACCAAGTTCATTGTAACGTCACTGGTTCAAGGCTAGAATGTACAAGTTCGAACCGGATCGAACCAGTTCCACCGCGAGAAAACAGCTCAGGGTAGCAAGTACAAATGAACAGTATTTGCCTTACTAACCATGCGTTCGGTATTTCGATCTGACTGATCCGAGTTTGGATTTACCGTTCGTTCATTCAAAAAGTGTACTCGTTGCAGGCTCATTCGCGTTCGTTTATTAAAATTTCGGACACTCTGATACAGCGTTCAACTGCTCCGGTTGCTCGCTGGTCACGAGACTACGGCTCCGCTCAGCACGCTCTGCTCTCTGAGCAAAATACGGAACGCAAGAGTTCTTTTCACGTGGCTCCGGTTTAACTAACCGGGTTACAAAACAGTTACAGAAATGACATACCGATTTCTAACCTGGTTACAAAGTGACGTGATGAATACCTACCACTCGAATTTGAGCGGTATGTTGCGGTTTGTTAAACCGGAGCCACGTGAAAAGGGTTAATGTAAAGTCATATCCGGACGCCGGACGGTTGGAGTGCCGAGTGCCTACGAAGTACACAGTGCACGAAGTGAGCAAGCCACTATTTATGCATTTTTGAAAAATACAGTGCAGGGCGGTCCAATTTTTTTAATAGGGGCGACGTTCACATTTTTCAAAAACATATTCAAAATATTGTGTTAGTCATTCTAATAATATCTCTATACTTTAAAAAAAAAAGCTTATTTTTGAAAATAAAACTTTTTGATAATCGAATTTTTAAACTGCGAAAACGCGGACTCGGAAAGTTATGTCACTTTCCGGAAAATGCGAGGACGCCGAACTTCTCACTAGTAAATCATTACACAACTCACTACCTAGAAATTATTTTCGTCCTTTAACTACCATGTATAAGCAGAGCTATCCAATGAGTTAATATACAAAGTTTCTCATTTGAAAAGACGTAGTTCGATTTTTAATTTAAAAGCTATCACTTCTAGAGATAAACTGACAACGCCACTGGAATCTGCATAGCGTTGTCGCCTTTTTGATCACTTATGAGAGAACCAAGATACCAAAATGCAACATTTTCAAATACACCTTTGTATCTGAAAAACAAAAAAGGCGATCACAATTCTGTTCACAGCATCTTTTCTTTAACAAAAAAGTAGCCAATGTTCGCAAAAACCGCTCCTTTCAACTCCAACAGCAACTGACTCATCCCTTATGTACAACCAAAATGGGACACCCTGTACCAATAAATTATTGCAAACTTATTTGGATTACACTTATATATTTCTAAACATTCATAAATCTTTCAGCTATTGAAATAATTCAGTATCAAAAAGAGTTTCTTCATCCATTAAATTCTCATCTTCGGCCATTGAATTCTCATCTTCATCCATTAACTTCTCATCCTCATCCATCAAATTCTCATCGTCATCCATTAAATTTTCATCTTCATCTATCAAATTCTCATCTTCATCCATTAAATTCTCATCTTCATCATAATCATTTGGATCAACCACCCATTCTTCACATTCATAGACTTCTTCTTCTTGATTATTTTCAGATCCAAGGTTTAGAGTCGAAGCATCTCTGTTTGCCAATTCCATTTCAATATCTACATCCCGATGACTATATTTGTAATGGAAATTAAGAATATCCTCATCCTTGAATGCCTTTGGACATATGGCGCATTTGTGACTGCCTTCGTGTTGCATCCTGTGAAAAATTGAAATATTTTATCCAACGAAAAATAAAAGCATTTGAAGACTTACCAATGTATTTTCATATTGTAGGCTTTTATGAATCCCTTGCCGCAAAACTTACAACTATGTAAGGATTTCCGTTCATGTATTTTCATGTTGTGATATAATAATTCATTTGATCTCTTATAAGTATTCGGGCATAGTTTACATTGATAAGGCCTATCTTCACTATGAATGAGTTCATGATTATTTAGCATTGCTGTTGTAATGGCTTTGTAGCCACAATATTTACACAAATGGTTTCTTTCGCCTTGTTTATGAACAGAAGCTAGATGGTACTGAAATTAAGTTTTCATTGGTAATATGGTTGATAAGTACTTCATGCAGGTATTTACCTGTAATGAGCCGACATATTTGAAGAATTTCCCACATTCATTGCACATAAATTTATCAGCTACGCCACTATGAACGTAGTTTCGGTGCTCGTTCAGACCATAGTGAGTAGAAAAAGTTTTGTCGCACAGCTCACATTTTTTGGATTCAGGGTCAACTGGATGGAACTTATTTTTATGATAAGTCAATGCTGAAAAGGGTTTGATTAAAGTATATAAAAACTTTTCTAAAAACTAGAAAATATGCTATATTATGGGAGAAATTGAATTACTTGGAATGGTTTGATCAGTGACTTAGTTTTTAGGATTGCCTTGATTTTCTATAATAACTGATCAGAAGGCTTTATTGCTAATTTACTCTTCATGGAATGGAACATTATATTGGTACAGAGGTTAAAAGGAACATTACAGGGATATTATACAGTTGAGTGGAGGAAAGGTTGAGATCATTAGGTAGATGAAGAAGCAACAAATGTCAACATACCATTTAAAAAAAATAATAACAATGAAATGAAATCATACAAAATATGTTCCAAACCTACTATGTAAGATATTTAACTGGGAATTGAAAATCTAAGGTCATTTTCAAATTATAATCGAGTAACACTAAAAACGCCAGTCTCTTTGAACAATAGTTACTTACCAGATTTTGTTTGAAATATCTGATCGCATTCTAAACACTTCAATTTGGTCGCCAAATATTCCTCATAGTGAGCATATTTAAGGTGTAATGTGACTCCTTTAGTAGTGGCAAACTCTTTGGGACAAAAATCACATTTATGAGCATCAGCTGGATCTATCACTTTTTTTGATCGATATTGGTTTACTTTTTTTTCGGCTGGAGTCTTGTCTGGTGTCTCGGCTGGAGTGGTCCCTTGTTTTTTCTTTCTCCTTTTAGTTTTAAGAACATCATCTATAGACATCATTATAATACCAGCAGGTTTTCGGGAGGAATCTAGAGATTGATTCTGCTCTGATGACACAGATGGTGATACTGTGGATTCATTCTGCTTTAATGACAATAATTTAACTGGTTCTGTAAGTTTATTCTGCTCTGATGATACAGATTTAAATGGTGCTGAAACTGTGGATTCATTTTGCTTTGATGTCACTGATTTATCTGGTGAGGATACTATGGGTTCATTTTGACTTAATAACATAGGTGAAGATAGTATTGATAATCGAGGTTTATTCTGCTTTGATGACACAGATTTAATTGGTGACGAAACTGGAGAGTTATTCTGCTTTGATGACACAGATTTAACTACTGAGGATACTATGGATTCAATCTGCTTTGATGACAAAACTTTAACTGGTGATGATACTGGTTTATTTTGCTTTGCTGACACAGATTTAGCTATTGGTGATATTATGGGTTCATTCTGCATTAATGACACAGATTTGATTGATGATACTGTGGGTTTATGCTGCTTTGATGACACAGATCTAATTGGTGTTGAAACTGTAGGTTTACTCTGTTTTGATGACACAGATTTCACTAAAGATTTATTCTGCTTTGATGGCACAGATTCAACTGGTGGTGATATTATGGGTTCATTTGGCTTTGATGACACAGGTTCAACTAGTGATGATATCGTTGATACTGTACGTTTATTCTGCTTTGATGAGACAGATGTGATTGGTAGTGATACTTTGGGTTCATTCTGCTTAGATGACACAGATTCAACTGGTAGTGATATTATGGGTTCATTTGGCTTTGATGATACAGGTTCAACTAGTGATGATATCATTGATACGGTACGTTTATTCTTCTTTGATGACCCAGATTTGATTGATGTTGATACTGTGGGTTCATTCTGCTTAGATGAGACAGATTCAACTGGTGGTGATATTATGGGTTCACTTGGCTTTAATGATACAGGTTCAACTAGTGATGATATCATTGATACTGTACGTTTATTCTTCTTTGATGACCTAGATTTAATTGATGTTGATACTGTGGGTTCATTCTGCTTTGATGACACTGATTCAACTGGCGGTGATATTGTGGGTTTATTCCGTTTTGATGACCCAGATTTAATTGATGTTGATACTGTGGGTTCATGCTGCTCTGGTGGCACATATCTTACTAAAGATACAATGAGTCTACTCTGCATTGATGGCATAGATTCAACTGGTGGTGATATTATGGGTTCACTTGGCTTTGATGACACTAGTGTTGATCTCATTGATACTGTACGTTTCTTCTGCTTTGATGACCCAGATTTAATTGAAGTTGATACTGTGGGTTCATTCTGCTTAGATGTGACAGATTCAACTGGTTGTAATATTATGGGTTTACTTGGCTTTGATGATACAGATTCAAGTAGTGATGATCTCATTGATACTGTACGTTTCTTCTGCTTTGATGACCCAGATTTCATTGATGTTGATACTGTGGGTTCATTCTGATCTGATGACACAGATTCATCAGTGTTTGCTAGTATTTTACTAATTGAGTTTTTCTCAGCAAAGATGTCTGATGGAAATTCATCGGAAAATTCTGACTTGATAGTTACTTGTTCAATTTCTGGTATGTCTGGTCTGGTAATGTCTTTGTATTTTTCTGGAGTATTTGGTACTGATACGTCTTCATCATCTTCCAATTCAAAAGCCTCTGGTGGGCAATTTGGGAACCTAGTGTAATTATGTTCTGATGCTATAACAAAAAGTAATGATAATTGTCAAACACACTTAACTATTGTCTTTCAGATATTAATGGCATCTCATCATCCTTGGAAATTTGACTGGTTGACCCTCACATAATAATGAGATTATATGACAAATTCCAGACAGTTTTAAGTGTGTTTCACATAAATGTCGCGCGGGGGGGGGGGGGGGGGGTAACAAATGGTGGCAATACATGTACAAATTTTATTGCATTACAAAGTATTATAAAGTATGTTTTTTTTTTAAAGATAAAAGTCAAAATGACATTGTGTTGGCAATACAATGTAAAATTGTCAAAGCTTTCAATTTTTTTATGTAGAAAAGGCTTGTGTTGCCAACATAGTTACTAAATTTTTGACTTGGAGAATTATCTTTAAAAAAAAAAACAGACTTTACTTACTATATTTAGGATGACGTCACATTTAGTAAATTCCTGCTGCCAACCTAGCAAAACTAAAAGTCGAAGCTAAAAGTAGTTTTTAACACATTTAAAGTAGGGGGTTTACAGATGCTTTTGGTTGGCAACGGCGCGCGATGTTGCATGGCTTGCATCAACATTTTCATTTCGTTATTTTTAGCTGTCGTCAGAATTATTGACACGACATTCTGGTAAATTATAAGAAAAAAAAAGGTATTGACATTATCAGAGCTTGTTCGATGAGTCATCCTGAATATAACATAAAAAACCTATACGTGCGCATAACGACGCATTACTGGCATTACGGCAGAATTACCGGCATTAGGGTGGCATCACTTTGGCGCTATGAGACATTACTGGGTATAACCAGGGATTATGCTGGCATTATGTACAAATATCGGGGAATTACGCTTGCATTCAATGGAGTTACAGTTGATTTTAACCCTCGAATTTTCCAAATATTCACTGGGAGATCATCGAGGGGTTATTCACTAAGGGAAAAATGTGACAAGATTTCGGATTTAGAGAGATTTTGAGGGATTTCGGCAGGATTTCGGTAGGATTTCGGAAAGATTTCGAGGAATTATTCACTGTGACAAGATTTCAGATTTAGAGCGATTTTTAGGTTTCGGTTGGGACTACGGGATTTCAGGTGATTTCGGGTGATTTTGAAGGATTTCGGGTTGTTTCGAAGGATTTCGGGTGATTTTGCAAATATTTTAATTTGATTTTCGACTGTTACTTATAAGTATATTCGAAAGCGTATTACTATTAACTGAAATACGGCCGCTTTGACCGATTTTTGAAATTTGGGCCAATTGCAATAGATTTTGGGGTTTGCGAAATGATTTCTGAGGGATTTCGGCGGATTTCGGAGTGATTTCGTGGATTTCGGTAGGATTTCGGGGATTTCGGACGAATTTGTGACACGATTTCGGGGAGTGATTAACCCCTCGGAGATCATATTCATATTAACAATACCAACCCCAATATTGAAAATATCTTTGAGTAAGTTCGTGTATCTATAAAATACAAATAATGTACATAGATTTGGGAAATCGCATAAGATTTCGACAATTTTCAAGGAATTTCGAAAGATTTTGGATATTCGACTTTCAAAGCCGTACCACTAAAGATTTCGAAGATTTTGATAAATTTATTGGGATTTCGGGATTTCAGAAGGATTTCGGTTGAGATTTCATTAGGATTTCGGTTGGGATTCCGAGATTTCAGAAGGACTTCCGTTAGGATTCCGGGATTTCAGAAGGATTTCGGGATTTCATAAGGATTTCGAAAAAATTTCAACGAATTTCGGATGAAAATGTATAGCGATTTCGAGAGTTAGCCGCGGCCGAGGGGCGGCAGACTCACCACAATTTGTACATCGATTTCGGAAATCGCTTAGGATTTGACAATTTTCAAGGGATTTCGAAAGATCCGGCTTTCAACGCCGTACCACTAAGGATTTCGAAAAATTAATTGGGATTTGGAGATTTCAGGATTTCAGAAGGGTTTCGGTTGGGACTCCGGGATTTCAGAAGGATTTCGGGATTCCATAAGGATTTCGTTGTTCGCTATTTTGAATGGATTTCGAGATTTCCAAAGGATTTCAAAAGAATTTCAAGGAATTTCGGATTAAAATTAAAAACACATTTTGACTCACAACTTTGTTGATTTCAATCCGATCTTAACGTAATTAGGCTTCAACTGAAGCCAATTCCTGGTGAATGATTTCAATGCAACCACAATAGTTTTGCAGCTGCAAAGCTTCAAAGATTTAAGGGATTTCGAAAGATTTCGGATATTCGACTTTCAACACCGTACCACTAAGGATCATCAGAGCTCTGTGCCGAAATTCGGTTAAAGTAATGGGAGGCCATCGCATTTTATGTTCAAAAAAGTGTGAGCGAGAGCAAGATTACCAAAAGGCTTCTGAATTGGCTCTGCAACAAAAGTTTCAGGAATCACCAAAGAAAATTCAGCGCGCTAAAGAAGCCCTGGAAAGTTTTCACGACAGCTATGTACAAAAAGATGAGACATTGAAAAAACAAAACCTAAAGCTAGTTCAACAGCTGCTCGATGCTAGAGAAAGTTTCCTGCATAGATTGATGCGAAAATCACAAAGTTTTCGTGACGATGCTTTGAAATCAGAAAAGGAATATCAAGCAAAGATCAGTCACCAGCAGGAGGTTATTTATAAGCTTAATCAGGAGTTGCTCTCACTGAATGAAGCCTCTGGGATACACCAAAAACAGCTTCAAACTCTCAAGGAAGCTGAAATAGCTTTTAAAGCTGAGGTTGTTGAAAACTCTAAACAAAATGGTTGATCTCTTGAGGGCGCTGGAGATTGGGAGGCTGAGAAGTGAGCGTAAGCAGCATTTAATAGGACAACAGCTATTCTGCCAATCTGAAAGTTTGGTTTCTCTTAAGGCTCATCCAGTATCAGAGGCAGTAGGAAAAAGAGGGGCGAAATATCAGGAGCGCTCAAATTATGACACAGTTGACTGAGGTTGTAGGAAGAAAGAAGCAGCCAAGGATACTCACTAAGTGATGATAATGCTCGGAACTTGGAATTTAATAATTGTGAATACGATGTTTTAAATATATTCAAACCTGGTGCGGCTCCACAAAATGTTATTGAAGGCTGGCTTATGATTTAGATTTTGGAAAACTTTGAAAGGTCATAACTTTTTTTCTATTATAGATAGAAAGCTGAAATTTTCAGCGATTCTTATTCCAGTAGAGGACTACAATCCCTGAAAATTTCAACCCATTTGGACTTATAGTTCCTGAGATAAAATCGTGTTAAGCAATTTCGGGTGATTTATCAATTTTTCTGAGTGCCTTTTTTCATAGATTTCGGCTTCAAATCTGGGAATAATTTAGTGTATAGAGTTCGGGGGATATCAAATGACCATTAGAACACAAAATCTCAACAAAAAAAAATTTGAAATTTCATCGTTTTAGTAAGAAGGTAGCTTTATTATGATTTAGATTTTGGAAAACTTTGAAAGGTCATAACTTTTTTTCTATTATAGATAGAAAGCTGAAATTTTCAGCGATTCTTATTCCATTAGAGGACTACAATCCCTGAAAATTTCAACTCATTTAGACTTATAGTTCCTGAGATAAAATTGTGTTAAAGAGTTTACGTACCTAGTCAACAAATATTTTATTAAATAATCAAAATCAAAGTTGCAAGCAAAACTCGAAGCAAAATAATTAAAATACGCATAGAAACACATATTCAAAATAAACTTCCTTGGCCGCCACATCATATTGAATTATTATTTTGACAGATGGATTAGATTGCCCCTCGGATTGCCTAATAGGAGGGTCAACCTGCCAAATCTTCAAGGATGATGCGATGCGAATAAAATCTGATGCCTGTATAATATTATATTAAAATTTAAAATTTATTTACCAATTGGTTCCGTACCTTCAACTGGTACATTCAGCTTAGTTTTTTTGGCTTTTTGTTCCTTGTTTCCTTTAACAAGGACATTAGCTTTACGTTTATTGGCCGTTCTTTTCAAAGTGGTTGTTTTAGCTTTTCTAGTAGGTTTTCTTTGCCTTGAGCTTTGCCTCAATGGATTTTTTTTAATTTCAGGTGGACTTACTGGTTCACAATATAGTGGAATTAATAGATCACTAGTCTGAGGCTCAATTTTTAATGCATATTTGCTGGGATCACGGATAATTCGGTTTGGAAAAGCTGGTTTGGATTTCCTATCATAACTTTTAGTAGAAAGGGGATCTTTCTCTTCAGTTTTAGTTGCATCATATTCTTCAATTTCAATTTGTGGTTCATGCTCAAAGCCTAAAGAAACTCTTTCTAACTTGTCTAACCTCGCTTTTGATTTACTGCTACTCTTCAAATGTCCAAAAGAGGTGTTCAATTGGTGGACAAACTTATATGCATCTTTTAATCCTTTTAAACAAGCAGTGCAAATTTTAGTTGGCCAGTCATGGTCTTCGATTTTTATCTAGATAGAATTTTATTGTATAGTTTTTTCAAAGTCAATTGGAACAAGGTGAACATAAAATTGTAAGATAAATTTCAACTGGTGGCTGACTAGTCGCAGTGTATGTCTTATGGAAATTTTCAGTGACCAGTCAGCCACCAGTTGGTCCCTTATTCCAATTGAGTTTGGAAATACTATACCTATTCAATGAATATTTGAGGCTAGAATAAGTACTTACTATTTTGTTCGACACAATTTGCAAAATGCCAAGCACTGTCGTTTCTGTACCGAAAAATCCTGGAAAGGAGCTGCTAAGGGAATGGTACACCTTACCAGCAACCGGGGATAGACAAGCTAAGCATTTCACGTTCTTCAAATCCATTTGGGTTGTGGATATACCCTCATTCACTTAGTAATAATTTCACCATTGGTTTTTAGAATGCATGCCTATTAGAACAAATTATCAAATATCTTTCTTTGGTTATGATAGTAGGCTACCAGAAAATAGAAAAAAGTAAGTCCCTAAACCAAGAACTAAAAGCCTACCAAAATCACTCACCGATCAGAAAATTTTGGTTTTCGTCGGTTCCCTCGTTTTTTGTTTGACCTACCGAGCTTGGCTTGGGTTATTCTCGTTTTCGGTTGAATTCGGCTTTGATCAAATGTCAATTCGGAAATAGCTACCTACGTCACATCACAGTACGAGCTTTTATTCATTCCAAATCCAAAGTCTACAGGGAAAAGACTCGAAATACTTTAAAATGTAATATTCGAACACCTATGATATAAACTCGCTATGCTGCGATTTTAATAATGGAATTGTTCAGATCAAAAAGTACAAAGAAATTGGATAAACAAACGTAGCATTTCGAGTCAACTCACTAAAACAGCGAACGGAACGCGACTAGAAAATTGGTAGGTGGGTTTGGGGCGTTTTCGGATGATTTTGGTTGTAACTAGGGATGTTACGCTGGAACTGGACCTGTTCTTTTGGAATAGGTATGACCTGCCTGTTCCGTGTACCTATTACCAAATATTAAATTTACCTGTTCCGAGTTCGCAGAGCAGGCGCTGGCACGTCACGTTTTTGCTCTAAACCAAAGCTATTTTCTCGCGTTCACTTTTTTGAAACAGGTTTGAAGTAATATATTATTGCCACTTGTCAGAATTCAAATTATCAATCGGTGTTCGCTTTAACAGTTGTATTCCTTTCAAGAGTTTAATAAAACACTCGAGCTACTCGCTCCGGTGTTAGTTGCCCCCGATTTACAAGGAACAGATGCATGGTGCAACAAGCACTTTTTGAACGGAATGAGCGCGTAACGTCCCGGAGCTGTTCCGGAGCTCCTCCTAGGTGTGAAAGGAATACAACTAAAATCTGTTTTTTTTTTAAAGATAAAAGTCAAACTGACATTATGTTGGCAATACAATGTAAAATTGTCAATGCTTTCAAATTTTTTATGTAGAAAAGACTTGTGTTGCCAACATAGTTACTAAATTTTTGACTTGGGGAATTATCTTTAAAAAAAAACAGACTTTATTAAAAAACTGAGCTCTTTCGGGTACTACCCTTCAAGCGCTCCCGAGTTACTCCGAAGAACTCCAGCTGCAGTTTGACACGTTCGGGTGAACAGAGTTTGGCGCACTCGAGCTGCTCTCATTTCTCCTACAGTGGCTAAATAAACCTTTACATACAGTGGCGACAATAGAGTTCCCGCCGGCATCTTGTTCCCAACCTCCTGTTACTTTCAAATATTAATATATAAGATTTAAATAGACATCTATCATAAAAAATTAAAATCGGCATATTTGATGACCATTATCAGGTTCATCAAATACGTTGTTTTCCATGTTTTATGATGGATGTTCACCTAAATCCTATATATTCATATTTAAAAGTAACAAGAGGTTGGGAACAAGATGGCGGCATTTTCAATATAAACATATGGGATTTTTGAACCAATCAAAAATGAGACCGCAATTGTCGCCACTGTGGTAATAGAGTCACTGTAATTTCTTCGCCTCTCATGGCGCACTCGAGCTGCGCTCATTTCCTCGCCTCTCACCCCTGAAACACCTACCATTTTATGGGCACTGAGTGTATCCGCATCTTTTTCTAAAAGCACGTAATATGTAGGGATAAGGATACATTTTTTTTGCACTGGTTCGACAAATGGAAAACGCTATGAGTTTGACAGGAAATACTTGTAGCTTGAAAAGGTACTTGAGCCGCTTTCCAGTGCCTAAATTGTTAGAGTATCATGCTCTTGAAGTGTGACGCTCTTGAACTGTTCGACATAAGCAGCACTGGAACGCTCTCGTCTTAACCCCCACCATTTCGGATTTCATGAGCATGAAACACAGACAAAAGGGGTGGTGCACGAGGGGGCAGGGGATAACAGAAATGAGTAACTCAAGTGTACGACACTCTAAGCACTGGAACGCGCAAAGCAATTGTGGAGCACTCCTGAGCTGCTCAGGAGTAACTCAAATGGGTCACTGGAAAGCACCTTTGGAATACGTTTGTGTTGGGAGCAGGTACAAGTCATAACAGGAACCGAATTTTCGCGACGAATTACTTCCATGATTTCATGAACAGAAACGCTTTCGCGAGAAACTCATGACGTCATATTGAACTTAAATCGACGGAAGCGTGGATGCAGCTTCTAGCCAGCGTTCCAACTCATGACGTCACAGACGAACTTCGGTTCAGGTACAAGAAAAAGCTATTCCATAACATCTCTAATTGTAACTGCACGTTGGTAGGTTTTTATTTTTTCACGTCATAATAAACACGCCTTATTTTTTTGTTGTTTAGCTTTGTTCCAACATCGCAACCGTATAGTTAACCGTTGTTAAAAGTTGTGCGTAGGATCCGAAATTCGTCTATGGAGTGGTTTGACTTTCAGACTTCTTGAAAATAAATCTCCTCTATTTTGTGAGTTTTGTGGACAAAAATTGAAATGTGTATTTCTACTATTTCAATAACATTTTCGGCTTTACCGCTTTATTGCTCCCAGAGCGCTATCCGTCGGAGGTGACGTCACAGAACCCTGCGGGAGTGTTCCGAGAGGGCGAGAGCGATTATAATCCAAACGAGAACACACCATTTCAAACTAGTTGTATTCCTTTCATACCTAGGAGAAGCTCTTGAACAGCTCCGGGGCGTTACGCACTTATTCCTTTCCAAAAGTGTTTGTTGCACCTCATGTGCGGAAGGAAAAGCGAACCAGTTCAGTTGCTCGAAACTCTAATGCACTGGAACGCCTTTAAACAATCCGGGGCGCTCTAAAGCAGTGCATCACTGGAAAGCGACTCTGCTGCATTCATGATGACGACCGGGCGCACTCCGGTCGTGCTCCAGCGTCCGGATAAGGTTCACAAATCGGGATGCTTCAACCTGGTAAAATTACACCAGGGATCACAATAGGTTATATTTGCTCGGCATGCACGATAGTTTGATGGTAGCTGGATCCATGATCAAATACAAATCAAATTCACAAAGAAAATGAAAAAATAAGCGACGAATGTACGTGATTCAAAATCAAAACATAAAACATACGTCCAAACTACACTTCACAAACGAACGCTCGTCAGTTCATTGCCATAACATAAACGAACGCCCCAAAGCAGGAAGTGCTGCCCCGAACAACACAAAAAACAAACCTCACTAGTTTCGAAAATTTTTAACACTTCGTGTTGCATGAAATTTGAAAGTTTCTACATTGGTTTCTACTTATTTTATGATGCAACTAGAACAACCCACAGTATAGGGGTTTTCAAGCGCTTGACCGGTAAATACCGCAGTCATGCCCTTAATCATAGCTTTTGTTTGGTTGACAGTTTATGGACAAAACTTTTCCAAAGGAAATAAGGGCCTCGTTAGTATAATAGCGTTTTTTTACTACTAACCTGAGAAATAGTCATTATTCAATCTATTTTTCTAGAAAAAAATTGAATTTCTGTCATAATGACGCAAGGATATCGATATTGTCATGTTTTTATTGGTTCAATTTCAATTTCATACGTCAAATAGAACAGATTACAAATTATTAATTTTCCACTAGCAGTAGTAAAAAAAAATCTATATATTCCTCGGTAGAGAAAGTCATTATATACCACACGCATCACGCATTATAAATCTCAATTATTTTAGGAGAGCCGTAACGATAAGGCCGGATTTTCATGCATCTGTTTTCCGACGAAATATGTCCGAAGAATCTTCTATTTTGACATATTTCTATACGATTATGTCAGAATAGGATGTTTTTCGTACATCTTTCGTCGGAAAAACGGATGCATGAAACTCCAGCTTAAAGCCTAGTACTCATAACTGCGAAATTCGCATTTTCTTGACAATTTGACGTTTTATGCGTGTATCAAACGTCAAATTGTCGAAGCAATGTCAAAAAAATGCGAATTTCGCAGTTATGAGTACTAGGCTTAAGTAGGTATTCCCTAAAATAACATTTTTACATGGAGAAATGTCAGTTTAAGGCATACCTATTGTTAGGGCTTCCCTAAATTACGTAAGACGTCTTTCTCTGTTGAACCGTGTTTTAAAACGTTTCAAAACTGGTTCAATTGCTACGTCATCATATCGGATCGGTGGTGCCCCGTTTTAAAACGCAGCCCGCGACATCCCCAAAATTATTGTATTTTGGTATTTTGAGATCAGCTGTTTAACGTTTATTTTGAAACAGGCTGAAAGAGCGGTTCGAAACTGGGGTCCTATTTCTATTTTCGAATATTTTCGCATACGAAATTTTATACGATTTCGAATGCTGCCCATTTAATTTACATTGCTGTCAGTCAAATTCCGTGTACGAAATGTACTCGAGTGGTTTCGAAAATCGCACCCCTGGTTGAACCGCCTCCGTATATGACGTCACCGTTGCAACACAAAAATGTAACGTTTTAAAACGTTTCAAAACATTTCAAAACATTCTGTCAGAAAAAGACGTCTGTAGTTGGAGGAAATGGCCATTAGAAAAATTAAGAAGAAAACGAAAATGCAAGATCCGGGAATAGACAAAATACCTATGAGATGGAAAAATAAATATATACCTAGATAATAATAATATTAATAATAATACCTGAGTAAACATCAAAAAATTTGCAAAAATATGGCGGCAGGGGCGCGGTTAACTTCTATATTCATACCTATTCAAAATTTGCCAGAATATTGGTGGCGGTACCAAATTTCTATTTGAAGTGACTGTAGGTGGGCCGGGGCCATTGGAAAGGGTTGAAAAGGAAACAACCAATCAAATACCTTGACGATACATAAACACCGGAAAGGGGCGGGGCTCAACTAACCAATTGAATGCCCTGCTGATATCACTAGCATCTGATTGGAAAGGGGCGGGGCTTATATCCAACCTATCAAATGCTTTGTTGATATCCTTGCGTTTGATAAAAAGTCAGCCACAGTGTTGCCAGCTTGACGGAATTATCCCCTTTTTTGAGGAAATTTTCTATTTTCGTTCGCAAAGGGTAGAAGCGGAGCGGAATTTTTAAAGTCTGTTTTTTTTCAAAGATAAAAGTCAAAATGATATTTATGTAACGCGCCATTTTCGAGATATACCTATATACCCTGTAAGTATGGGTAGGTATAACATCTCATTCCCGACTGTAAGTGAAGGCGCAATAATTGTTTTTTTCCACTACCGCGCGTAAAGTACTTACGTAACGCACCTTTTAGAAGACATGAAATGTCACGCACCAGTGCGTGAAGTAGTTTTTTTACTACTAACCTGAGAAGTAGTCATTATTCCATCATCCCATCAAAAATCTCGCCTCTCTATATGGCCAAAAATACTGAGCATGACCCACCATATTGGAGAGGTCAAGTTTGGGTCAATATCAATTTTCTGAATTTTCTAGTCACCAAACTTCTGTGGCACTATGGGCATAGTGAAGGGCCATATCAAGATCAAGCGAATCGATTATATCAATAATTGAGTTTGAACATTATTAATAATGTTGTGGAACAGTATGAAAAGACTTTGGGAATATTTGGGAACAGTATAACGATAAAACTGGCGAGGGTAGCGGTTGCAGGCCTTTGCCTTTTACAGGATGGACAGCTTTTGACTGTGGTACTTATAAGCTAGGGATTTGAATAAATACTGGAAAAATTAGTAGGTACTTCTTTTTTATTTAAAATAATTTTAACTCGTACACTTATCATCTTATTCTGTATTCAACCTTATGTAAATTTTATAAGTTATTTATATTCTCTGGAGATGGAACTGGGATGCAATTGAGATGGACACCAAATGACTGAAAATAAGAAGTAATGAAGGAATGCGAATTTAAGATTTTGATGTAGTAGATAAAAAGGTAACTTCTCCAGAGAAAAACGACCTCATCTTTGTTTGGTATCATTTTGGATAGTCATCTCAAATGGACCCACCATGCATGAGCATAATAATTTGCAGAATGCCACAAACGATAAATGTTGTCAATAACTTCTGTACTATTTAATGGAAATAGTTTTTCATTCAAACACCAATAATGATTTATTTCCATCTTTCTATAATTACGCTTGTAGAATTAAAAACATAGTTTCTAATTCATGGGAAAAGTGTCCCACATACAACTGCCTCTAAGTGCGGAAAATGTCCGCTAGCACTATTTTATCCAACTGTACAACTTTTAGTATAGCTGAAAAAATGCACAAAAACGCAAACTTTGTTTCTTGCTAGAATATCATTTATGTGATTTAAAATTAGGATTTCTTACAATTTTGGTGTTGTAAATATGTATGTACTTGTTTCTTTTTATACTTGATTATTGAAGAAATGTTTTATAAATTCTGTTTATTTTAAAATACTAACTAGTCTCTATGTCTCTATACATATAAAATACACATCACAGTTTTGAAAAGTCTTTAAACTAAAATAGAACATTAAAAGCCAAACTCTATACATATCAAATACACATCAAAGTTCAGAAGTCTTTAAACTAAAATACAATATTAAAAGCAAAACTCTATAAACATATAAAATATACATTAAAGCTCAGAAAAATTTTTAAACTAAAATACAACATATAACTCACAAAAGATAAAATTGTTTGTTTTTTGGAGAATAACTTGTGATGAAATTGAGCCGATGAATGAGATAGTGAAATTAAATCCATTTTATATCCATGAAGGCAGAATTGATAGCACCATTTACCATACATAAATAACTTCAATCATGTCATTTTTGTATAAATAGGCATTTAACATCTAGTTAAAAATTAATTTTTGTTTCACTGTTTCATACTGCTCACATTCATCTTGTTTCTTCTACTACCAATTTTGACTTGTTTCACTTTAGCAGCAAAACGCAAAGAGTTTATACTCTCCATGAAACAACTTTCAATTGGAGAAATGTTCACAATCATTAAGGTTTTAGAGTTTCCCCCTAAGCTGGATTGCAGCAAATATGTTAGTTTTGAATTCCTAGAATAGATTTTTTCGAGTAACAGAAAAAAATATATGTAAAAAGTCTTACCTATAAGGTATATGTCTTGATTTGTGATGTAAATGCTGAATGACATCACCAAGAGTTGCCAAGCTTTTATTGATGTTTTTGGTTTCAGTTAGTCGCTCGCCTGCTACTGATTGCTTAGCGTTTTCTGAACCAGCCAAATCAACTAAATTCAAACTGCCCTTGTATACCAGATCTTCCAAAGTTCCTAAAAAAAGTTTCTATCTAAATAATCTTTGATTTGATTTGGACTGGAATATCTGAAGACTAGAAATTCCTAATAAACTTTTTTTCACTTGAGCTAAAAGAGTGTTTGACCAATTTCTAGCTTCCAGAAGAGACTTTTACCTTCTAAATGAATCTTCGTGACAGCATGTGACCGACTACTATGCTCATTAAAATCAGTAGCTGCTGTTGCCCTGTTCCTATGCGCCAATACCATATAACGTTCTAATTCAGCTGCCGAATTAATTGTCTGTATTGACAAATTCGTTACTGTTGTCTCTGCACCTTCATTGAAACAAATGTCATGTTTTTGCCCCTGCTTTGTGTTGAGCAGATCTCTTATATTTTCATTGTAAATTTCCAAAAAGCTTGCCTAAAGAAAATAGTTAAACATTTTATATGTAGGTACCTATTCTAGCCCAGGAAATATAGGTTCTACTATGCATACTCTATGGTAGTCAGGTTCTATTTGTTTTCTTATAGATTTTGGGATTGCAGGGAAAAAGTGGGTGTATAGTATAGAAAGTTTTAAATAACACCCCTATATGAATAATATCTTAAAGTTTGAACACACTAGCATTAGCCATTCAGATAATATAAAGGTGTGTTTTTTAGGGGATAAAAACCCATATTTTGAAAAGGCGCGATCGCCCATCTATGAAAAATGTGTACTTATACCAAAAAATCTCAGTCATACATCTATGATGAATAGCCGCAGGATTTCAGGTCGATTTGCGTTTGTATTGGTGGAAAAAAAAATGTTTTACAGAAGCATGTTTTTCTAAAAGTAGTCGCCTTTGGAGCGTTACCCTCACTTCAGGGTAGGTGATGGCCTATACTGCCGCTGAAGAAATTGTAAGGAATATAGTCCTTTATAATTTAAAAAAAGTTGGATGTGCTAGGTTTGCAAAAAACCAAAAACTACCCCCTTTAGGGGCTCGAAACGAGGTGATCTGAGGATGTTTTTTTGTGAATATGCGAGATTCGTAATCAGCATCCCAAAATCTATATAAAAAAAAATAAAAACCAACCACCATCGAGTTTGCGTAGTAGAACCTACGTTTCCTGAGCTATTCTCTTAAAACCAAAATTGATGGCCGCACCCAAAAAAACATCTATAATTTCAGCACTACAGTAGTAATTTGGACAAGCTTTTGGTAGCAATCTATTTGCCTGATGTTCATAACTAATCATTTTTGTTTCTGTGAAGAAAAAGTCTTGCTACTTTGTCAAGTATTTTTTGTACTAAGGTCTTAAACATTGTCATAAATGCTTTCAATAATAAGTTGGTTACCTGTAATAAATTTGATTCTATCAGATTTTTTTTGTTTCTTCTAACTTTTTTAAAACGCCAACTGCAGAACTAAATTCCATTCCTTACCTCAGATATTTTATAAGTTTTTGTATAGTTTGAACGCACAGTTGTTTTGAAATTATAGAGAATCTACAGGTGGGTCTATTAAACTAAGGAGTAGTATACTTACTTTCACTGTATACGACCATCCACTTCTTTGAAGCTCAGCAATGTTTTTGAAAATTAAATCAAATGTCCTGGGAATCATTCCTTTTTGGATTCCACCACCTCCTTGCATGGTATAAGTCTTACCTGACCCAGTCTGGCCATAGGCAAAAACGCACACATTGTATCCGTCAAGAGCAGACTGTACCAATTGTGCAAGATCCTCAAACACCTTTAAATAATTTATACTATCAATGAACTGAAAACATACAGACAAACATTACCTCTTCTTGCGAACTCTGGGGGGCAAACACTTTGTCATAGGTGAACTCAGATTTTGTCTCTTTTAATTTGCCAGTGATTTGATCATAGCTTTCTTGGTTTTTACGAATTTCAATACCGTTCTCATTAATAAACTCTATGCTACACTGAATTTGTTTCAACTCTGAAGGTAGTAGCGGTCTGATCCTGCAGAAGACTCTGATATTGCCTAAAATCAAATAAGGTATTTGTAAATTGAGAACATAAAATAGGTGTAGAGGATATTAAACCTTTCAAATCTTGGATGGTGTTGTGTAGCACTCTCCTTTCAGTTTGATAGTTAATCAAATCACTTTTTTGTAATGTGATAACTTCCTTTAGTTCTATGTTTTCTTTTTTTTCTTTGTTTAATTTTTCCAAAAGGTTTTTATTTTGTTCTTGATATTTGTTGTATTCCTCATTTAGTTTATCAAAATTATTTTGAAGTGAACTATAATTTCTCGTTAAAGTTTCATGGGCCGGTTTTAGTTCATCTAAGCTAACTGCAAAAAATAATCTCTGAGTACACTTAAATTCTAAAACTGCATTATCAATAGCTAGTTGAAAATAAAACTATTTCCTAGATATTAGATATTTACACAATTATTTATTAGATATAATTATTAAAATATTTCTCACTTGTTAATTCTTGGCATTTTCTGGTTTTACTTTCATTTTCTCTCCTGAGGGAATCAATATTTTTGATGGCAATTTCATGTTCTTTTTGTATTTTTTCATATTCCTTTTCAGTACTCTCAAATTCTAGAAAAAAGAATAATTTAAGTACACAAACAAATTAGGATTTTTCACCGATTGATCAAGTTTGCCCTATTTGACAGTATTAAAAATTGAAGAAATAAAGATAGTACTTCTTGTGAATTTATTTGAATACTAATAATTCCAAAAACACTTACGATTTGCTTTGTCCTGCAAGCCTTTCATGCAACTTTGAAGTTGTTCATATTTTTCGTTAAGCTGCAAAAATCGTCCCTTGTAATCCCAGTCTGGTAGTTTTCTTGCAGCTTTTGCCTTAGGACCACCTTCATCACTTTTGGCCGCAGGTCTTTTGGAGCCCACCAGAGTAGTTTTTGTTGCACCAGATTTAAGAGGTGGGACTCTGCTAGTACTTGGAAAAGCTTTATTTTGAGGACCAGCAGTTGGAGCTTTTCTTTCAGTTATTGGTTTAAGACTTCTTGTGAATGGTTGCCTATCAATTGTGGTTAAATCTGTATGTGATTTTGACTGTCTCCTGTTCTTGTTGAACCTATTTGCAATTAATGGTGCACATTTATTGATGCTTGGGTGTTTATCAGCCGTAGTTAGATCCGCTACTGATTTTGATCTTCTTCTAAGGCTATTTGTAGTGAATGTTGGATATTTATTGATAGCTGGCGGAGCCTCATGAGCTCTTGTTTTTATCTCTCCAAATGTGATAGTGTTTTCTGATGTTGATCCAAAAGGTTTCACCAAAGGAATTGGTCTTATTTTTGTACTGTTGGTGGGTTTGGGAAGCCTGGACATCTTAGTGTTGTACCTATACCTATTCAGTACCTACTAACACAAAATGGACGATAGTACTATTAGTACTAGCTTACACAATGGACGATATACAATATAAATATTGAACAATGTAAATTGTATGTATCAGAATAATTCCATGAGCTATAATCTTTGAAAAGTCAGTCACAAAAAGCAGTTAACAATTAAACGTTCACTAATATATTAGCAATCATTTATATTCACCCACATTCAAACAAAATTTCAAATTATCGAATTAACTGTTAAAGCAGGAAGCCACGAGCCACGCCAAGCCAAAGCTAACGATATCTTCAAATTTCAAAATTTGTACTGGAAATGACATCTGACATCGACATTATTAGTTGTAATCTTTGGTATTCGTTTCAAACCTAGGAGGAGGTCCGGAACAACTCCGGCTCCGGGGCGTTACGCGCTTATTCCTTTCGAAAAGTGTTTGTTGCACCACGCATCTGTTCCTTTCAAATCGGGGTCGACTAACACCGAAGCGAGTAGCTCTAGTGTTTTAAACTCTTGAAAGGAATACAACTACAACTAATCGGGCACTGACATGTTCGTTGAGTATGGGGGATAGACGTTTTCATTTGTATCTGCTATACCGTACCTGCTCCAAGTAAATCTGGACTTTTTTTTGTGTTGAACTAACTTGAACCGAATGATAAATATTTCAGATTTGTGACATCACTATTTCAACTTATAACTATTTAGAAGAACCAAGGTTGTTCGACAGCAAGGATAATAAAAACTACTACTACAGGATAGCTTATCCTGATAAGGCCTGTGTAGATCAAATCTCAAGCTCCCCACCACACCAAAGAACCAACGATGACGTAGGCAGCGTGTCGTTTGACGTCGGGTGTTTGCAACACAGGTTATGATTCCGCGGGCTTTTGCTTTAAGCATACTTGGTTTTATACTCTCCATAAATTAGCATTCTAAAACAACGCTTTTTTAGATCTTGTTTGAATGTTCCTCTTTGCCTATTACGGCCGAGTTCGTTTTTGTCATCTTTTTCGTCGATTTGCTCCGAAATTTTGACAGACACGTGATTTTTTAACTTGAAATTGTCTTATCCAGTGAAAAATCTTAATTTGTTTGTTGGGATTGGTATTTACCACAACTTTTATGCGACTTTGGTTTTTCTTTTGGTTATGACTCCGTGACGTCATGGATCAGCTGTAAACTGTCATACTTATCACCGCAAAATTGCGGTTTTAACCCAGCTCGGGAATGGTTTTTATTTTGCGGTTAATGGTTAATATTTGAATTGTTGACATTACGTTTTTGGAGGGTTTTTAGCAGTTGTTGATTTTCCCTATAGGGCAAGTACACGATCTGACAGTTTGACACTATTGACAGTCGCCTTGAGGTAAAACAAAGACATAATTTACAGTGTTTTTTAAGTTTTTAGTTAGATTTTTTAAAATAAATACCTTTTGTGTACTCCAGAAGTTTCTTGGACATGCCTAGAGTTTGTTTAGTTGTTAATTGTGGCAGTATGGCGCAAGGGATACAATATCCTTCCATAGGTTTCCATCAATTTTAAATAACAATGGGAGGTTTGATTTGTTAGCTCAAGAAAGAAGAGAAAAATGGATTAATGTTGTTAAAAGAGATAATCTGACAGAAAAATAGATTGAATATAGAGTAACTATACATATATATTTATTCTTGAGACACTTGGTTTTGATATTTGTTGGAAAAAACCTGAATTTAATCCATTATGGGAAAACCTAGCAAACTTTTGGATAAACCACCACATAGACTGGAACACAAACACTCCGCTCTAACTTTTTTGAAAGAAAATAACACCAAAACTTGTAAAAAAGCTGTGAAAAGCGCGTAAAACATAACCGGCGTAATCTACACGAATGTAAATAAATGATTTGTTTTACCTCAGGGCCACTGTCAAACTCATTTGTGACGTCACATGGACATGCCCTATTGACCCTATTTTAGGTTGGAATTTAAATCTTGCCTTTTTGTAGCAGTGTTATTTGGTATTATCTATTGTAGGTACTGTGAAGTGAAAAAAGCGCCAGAAATTATGGATACTTCAGATTCTTTTTCCCTGGGCATAAATCATGAAGATGTGGATTACCAAATACAGGTTGGAGAGTTAAGAAACATATTAATGGGATAATAGCCACTAGTATATGGTTTACACAATATTTTTTGTGTATCAGTTCTTCCATTGACATCTACCAAATCCATAAAAGTTGTTTTTTCAAATAGGAATAGTTGAAAAAACTGTAAATTGCTATAATTTATTAGCCAGGAATCTGTTTCAATTGATTTCGGTCTCATGTCTCTTCTTTTCTAAAAAAAAATGCAACAAATTGGTAGATTTTCCTAAACAAATCAATTATTTCCGCACTATCTTAAAAAAAAAAACACATCTCCAAATAAAACGGCAAGTTTTTTCCTCTTCCCTATTTTCCGGCCAGCGATGAAGTGAATAAATATAAACAAATAGCAATAACACAACAGGGGTAACCGCGGTTAATACCAAACGCGTTAATACGTAAGTGAATACAATGAAATGACGTCATCAAGTGATATGTCATTTTGAACCAAAGCGTAACCGAGGTTAAAACCACAAAATTGTGGTTATTCGCTTAAAATTGGCTATAAATGTATATTCTAAACTACAACCGCTGGCGCGAACAGCCGACGACGTAGTTAATGACGTTTTCAATGGTGCTACACAATATGGCCGCGATTTCCAAAAACGAGGCCTTGATTTAGAACAAGGTTCCTAAAGTTACGAGGTTGTCGTAGGGCCGGTTTCTCAATAGCGAGTCACCGCCGGGTTGGTTTTAACTCCGGCCCGTAATGGGTAACTTGATGACGCATCTGGGGTGCCTCATGGAGATTTGCATTATGTTGATGCCAATGAACTGAAGCCAAGAACTTGGTTCCATCTTGGTTCAAACCAAAGCCCTTTTTACGTGGCTCCGGTTTAAACTAGCTGAACTTGCACTACCTGCTCGAAAGCTTTAACTTGACAGTTGTCAACACGCAGAGTCGCTCGGAGTCACTCGCAGATGTAAAATGGGGCGTCATGAATGGAATGGAGGTGGTCACGTGGACGTACCTGACTCGTGGTCCCTAGAGTAGAGATGAGGATTTGAGAAATTGAGATTCCATTTCCCCTGAAAGACACACCCGAGCAAGATGTGTTCAAATTCGTCCCGAAGGCCTGGGACGCCTTTTAAATTTCTCATCGGCAAAGGTTCTGGGAAAAAGATGTACAGAGTGTGACAGAGTTCATTAGGTAAGTAATTACTTACTTAATTTCTCCAATTAAATTTATCTGGTGAAAAAATTCCTTGACTAACCTACAAATAGGTACATGTGCTAGGAGGGGGCACCTTCTTGAAGATAAGCAAAGAGCAAAGCAAGCAATATTTTAAATCAAATAATTGTTGAAGTTTTGACCAAGTCATTTGTATGGGTATTTCACTAGGGGTCCAATAAAATTTCCAAAATTTGTTAGATTTGGTAGAAATTTCAATATGCCTTCGCTAAAGAATGTTCACATGAACAATTCAAATTCTGAGGTGGCTTTTTGGGTTGTTCATTAATCTTTTCACGGCCAAACAGCCCAAATAAGAACAACTTAATGAAATTTGTTAATTTTCCCAATTAAATTTACCTAAATGATGAAAAGTTTACCTTGATCTCATATATAGAGCCCCAACCTACAAATAGGGGCTCCATATTTGATGACCAGTGGCTCTTCCTGATCAATTTCATTCATCACATAATCATATAAATTCATAGAAAAAATTCAAATTCTAATGCAATTTGTTTTTCAGTAGGGCCATGGGCTGAAACAATCAGATTACACAAAGGGATTCAGACTGGACATGATCCCCCAATTCCCAATCTGAGAAATCCTCTCAGAAGCTCAGAAGTAGGCGTTTCACAGGTACTTAACAAGACAAAATGATTAGTTAAATCCTAAATTAAATTTATTTCAATGATGAAAAGCTTACCTTGACTTCATATATAGAGCCCCAACCTACAAATAGGGGTTCTATATTTGATGACCAGTGGCTCTTCCTGATCAATTCCATATGAAATTATATAAATTCATGTAAACAATTCAAATTCTAATGCAGTTTCTTTTCCAGTTGGTTGTGGCTTGAACATTTTTTTCTCTGAATTACCCTGAAGGATCCCAGAGGCCACTTGGTCATCAATCCAAGAAATTCTATCGGAGACTGGGACAAAGGCGTCATACAGGTACTTAACAAGGCAAAGTAACTATTTAAATTCCCCAATTGAATAATGTTACTTAAATGATGAAAAGTTTACCTTGCGCTCATATACATATAGAGCCTCAACCTACAAATAGGGGCTCTATATTTGATGACCAGTGGCTCTTTCTGATCAATTCAATTCCACATAAAATTATATAAATTCATACAAAAAAAAAATCAAATTCTAATACAAATTTGTTTTCCAGTTGGTCACGGGCTAAAATAATTTTTTCTTTGGATTACCCTAAAGGATATCATCCCCGAATTTGAGAAATCCTATCAGAGGCTGGGACAAACGTGTCACACCAGGTAACAAAATAAAATAATTACAAAATTTTCCCAGTTAAATTTACCTAAATGATGAAAAGCTTACCTTGAGCTCATATATAGAGCTCCAACCTACAAATAGGGGCTCTATATTTGATGACCAGTGGCTCTTTCTGATCAATTCCATATGAAATTATATAAATCCATACAAAAAATTCGAATTCTAATACAGTTTATTTTTCAGTTGGAAGTGGGCCCAAGTAACTTTTCCTCTGCACTAAGGCTATCTGACCAACCAGATGTCATCAGTTCAAATCTCTGTCCTGAATCAAGATGCACAGGTAATAAAACATGAAACTCAATAATAATTAGCTAATTTCTCTCATTGAATTATTTACCTAAATGATGAAAAATTATCCTTGCGCTCATATTATATAGAGCCTCAACCTACAAAGGCTCTATGTTTGATGACAAGTGGCTCTTTCTGATTTGTTCCATACAAATTACATGATAGAATTACATAAATTCACGTGACCAGTTATACCTAAACGCAATTTATTTTTCAGTTTCATCTCTTCTAAATGGCCAAGTTACACATCGAGAGACCAGCTGCACTCATCTAGTAAACAAAAACCAAGCTGTATCAGTTTTCAGTTTCAAAGTCCTGAATCAAGATGTGATGATATTAGTGCTGTTGTTTATTAAATAATATTTGTGAAATTTTCAAGTATTAATAAAACTCATCAAAACAATTCTGTTTTTTTTTTTAATTGAAACAAAAATGGAGATTGTTTCAGCATGCTCTCAGAATATTTTTTTAGAAACTTCCTTGAGTATAAAGTAACTATTTCGCACTTTACTTTAAGGGCGGTTACACATGGGCATGGATGGCTTAATACATATGTGCATACATCAACGTGCAAACAACAACATGCATGGCGTCTTTGTACAGACGCTCGCACATAACTGCATTCTTGCTACAGTATTTCACCCAAACCAATGAGGTTCATATACATGCAAAAAAACTCAAGTTAATGTTTTCAGAAATTTGACACAGTGACTTCATAGGCTTTTCACTTACTAGTTTACACAAAAATGTATTTCCCATATGTTCTCAATAATTAAATTTTAAAATAAATTACGTGTTTGCTCTTCAGGAGGTCCGTGAAGTGCTGAGCCGGAAAATATGTAGGGAGAGAAAAAAAAAACAGTATAATTTCATTTGTTGGCCACCAGTTGAACGAGCTGAAATGAGGTCGACATCCACCATCTTAGATCAAGGGGGCGAATAAATCGAGTTTTCAAGAAATATTGTAGGATTTAAATAGTGTTTTTTTTTCTGAAATTTCCAAATGCAAATAAGTACAAAATCTGATGAGTAGGTGAAACATGTTAGCATAATAAATCTCCTAAATTATGAATATCTATGACACAAGTATCTTGGGTGAATGCAGAAACAGTGCAAAGGTGGATAAGTAATACCTAGTACATCGCCTGATTACTTAATAATAACGACTTTCTCTAATCTTCAGTTACATAGTACTGGCAGTATAGGTAATCTTTTAATGGGTCATTCGGCAGATTAGTTCCATTAGACTACAAAATTTTAATTATGCATCTATGTATTGAAAGGCAGGTATGCAAATATTTTAAACAAGAGTTGAAGGTACTATAAAAATGGAAATGACACAAAAATAAATAATATAAATTTGAAATTGGTGAATATATTTCATTGTAAAGTTATTAAGACAGATTAGTACTAGTATATAATATAGTATTCATCCCACGCTTTATTCAAATTGGATGTGTGGGGTGTAATATAATAATACAATAACTGGTGCTTAATATTTAGATCAATTATACCGATATGAGTGCAGGAGGAAATGTGGAAAATACCCAAATATTATCATTCCAGGAGTAAAGTAGTAAAACTAATCAAAAGTCCTACGAAATCATCGGTTACTTATAATTACCTACCTACTATGTGCATTTAATTTGCTGTGCCACTGTTCCGTTCTCTTCCTTGATAAGTTACAAGCGAATGATGTGGGTATCTACGTTTACAGGTTCCTTTCAAATTATGTAAAACTTTTTTCAAATGTAAGGTCTTAAGTAATAAGCTATAATCCAAAAATAAATAAGTAATTTAAATGTTCCGCAACTGATTTGTATATGGGATAAGCTCTGTTTTAGTTAGATAGACCTTAGATTATGTTAGGTAGGTATACTTTCGCTTTTCTTAAGACTTCACTTCATCGGTTCTCCCGTTCTCTTGCTCCAGATGATTTTCTATATAGTAACCGCCTAGCTAGAATTTGAAGAGCTAATACCTATATAGCAATATGCCAATATATATTTATTTCCAGAACATTATTTATCTCTGCGATTAATTGAATTTACTAATTTAAACCATCACATAGCGATCGCTACAACATTGATTCGCATTTCATTGACCCAAAACGGGCGGCACGGCAACAATCTCTCTCCCTTGTATCGTTATAAAAATTGGCGACCTTGTCGAAACGGG